ATATTAATAATTTTCAAAAATTGCAAACGAATAAAGCTTAACGAATTCCAAAAGCTTAAAGCTATTTTCATTTAATATTTTTTTTCATATTATTTGCTATATAAAAATTCCAGAATAACATTTATTCTTTAAAAATATCCAAAACGAATAACAATTTTGAAATTGAAAATCACAATTTAAGCTTTTTACAATAACTTACATATGCAACTTTAAGTGTTAGCAAAGAAAGAGATGAACGAAAAATGCAAGCTTAATATATATAACCAAATTTTTTCCAATTTAATAGCGATTTTTAGCAACAAATGTATGTTACATAAAAAAAAAGTAATAATAATAAAAAAATAAGGTACATTTATTACTGTTATATCATATAAAAGCTGATTATTAAAAATGTAATAGAATATATAAAAATAGTATAATAAAACTAAAAACAAAGCTTAAATTTAAGCTTAAGCTATGTACAACTCAATAAAATTAATTATGAACAATTATGAGCAAGCTAATTATGAATTATGAACTTAAAGTTATTGTTTTTGTGATTATGGCTGAAAGCTCTCGCTAAAGCTACCAATAAAGCTTTCAACATATATATATAAAATTGAGGTTTTAATTTAAATTTATTTTGGTTTGTAATTTTAATATTGTTGGCGAAAGTTCTTACTATGAACTAGTGAAAGCTTTCGGCAATAATTAAGCTTTCATAGAAAATTTCGAGTAATAAATAATTTTTGAACCAATTCAAAATTAGTAAGAGAATTTTGAAAGCGGTGTCAGAAAATGAGTAAGCTTTCACCAATTTAATGGTGGAGTTTTCATATGTATTTTATCGAATCTTACAAAATGTAGCCGCTGTTCATCCGATCTTCATTAAAAAGCACAATGGAACTTATGAAAGCGCTATCGAAAGTTTAAAGGGTAATCTTAACTTTATTCAAAATTTTGAGCTTGCACTGTCTATAAAATCAACAAGATGAAGTTAACAAACAGAAAGAAAACATATAAATAATGAAAAGCAAACTAAATTCAAAGTTAAAATTTGAAATAAAATAATTAAACAGTCACATGAAATGTTCAATATAACAAAAAAAAGAACCGAAAATGCTTCAAGAAAAATTATTAAAAGTAAAAAACGATATAATCAAAATATAAAACGAATTTGTTGTTATTAACAGAAAAAATTTGTTTCTGTAACCCATTTCTTATTACGATAAAGTGCTAAAACGATTATTTTTTACTTATTTTTACTCAAAATACTACCCTGGTATGCTAATCTAAAACTTTTGCTATTTTAAATTGTTTAAATAAATATGACTATAGAGCTTTTATAAAGGCCTTTAATTTTTACACAAATTCACAAATTCAAAGTTTTATATATTAAGAGCCTTAGCAAAGAATTAAAGAAGTCATAGAAGTGCGTGAAAGCTCCCTAAAATTTTAAAATCTTTTAAGAAAAAAATGTTATTTTGAGCTTTCGGGAAAATTTATAAATACATAGCGAAGTCTAAAACCTCTAAAAAAAAGCTTCTAAACAAATAATATTATATAGAGCTTTCTCAGAAAACTTAACAAATTATAACAAAATTTTGAAAACTTTATTGAGCTTTCACACGGATATTAAAACAGTCATGGAAAAGCGTGAAAGCTTTCGAAATTTTTAAATCCTTTGAAATAAACATGTTTTTTTGTTGTTAAAAATGTATAAAGCAGTTATATAAAAAATATCAATTTAAAAAAAATTTCAAGGCTTTCCCAAAGGCCATTGGAGCTTTCACCGAGTATAAAAAATTTATATATTTCAAAGTTTCTAGTAATAGTAAAAAATAAAGTATTTATTTTCAAATTTAATTTTTTTGGCCAAATTTCGCCGATATCTGTATATTTGTAGGTTAATGTATAGCGAGCTTTAAGTGTCATATTTTCAGTCGAAAGAATTTTCAATTGCCTTAAAATTGCATATAAATGTATATGTTTGTTAAAAAAAAAACTGTTATTGTTTTGCAAACCCAAAATGGAAAAAAAAGAATTATAATAATAAAAAATTTAAACTCTAAATAAAATTTTAAGAAGGAATTAAAGAAAATTAAATGAAAATAAAAAAAAGAATACATTTAGCCTTAATTGAAAAAGGCATATTTAGTAAAAACAAAAAACTAAATAAATTTCTTCTCACACAGCTAATGCACCGGAAAATATTGGCAAAATTCCAAAATAGTATTAAATTCGCTTCAACAATATTTTAAAAAGCTGAAAAATGTAATTACACTTAAAAAAAAAAACGGCTCTTCAAGCAACAAAAACGTGTCATTAATAAAAATGATTTTAGTCTTGTACTCAACACAAAAACTTGAAAACTAAAGCAAATTAAAATTAAAATAAATTTCTGCAGCAAACAAAAAATTCCGATTGATGGTCAAAATAATTTAAGCAAAAATCATAAAAAACAAAAAATAAATAAAAATAAAAAAAGCCTATGCTAAATTTATAAAGAAAATTTTAATTCCGAATTATTGCAAATAAAACGAAAACACATAAAAAAAAATAATAAATCAAAAATTAAAAGCATAAAAAATATATACTAAAAATAGTGAAAAGCAAAAATAAATTAAGAAAAATAAAACAAAAAAAAAACACAAAATTAAACAAAACGAATGTCATCAAGCTTATCTCAAAAAGAAATAAATAAAAACAAATACTTATGTGAAACACAAAAGAAAAACTATCTATGAAAAAGACTTCTTATTATTTTCAAATGGATAAAACGTGGTGAGTAATAAAAAAGAAATTTCTCAAACAAAAATTTCATAACCACCTAAAATGTTATAGAAAGCCACAAACCCGCAGAAGTCTGTCGCACAAAAATGCCCAAAAGAGTTTAGAACGCCCACTGAAAAAAATGTTTTCACTTTTTTAAAGAATAATGAGTGTCTATAAGTTATTAAATATTGTCGAAATTGCAATAAATAGTCAAACACTGGTTTTACTTAAGCTTAAAAAAGTGAAAGCTCTAGGAAAATGTGTGAAAGCTTGCAAAATATTTAATAGTTTCAGTGTAGACCTTCTTAGAATTATCGATATTTTATTACACATTTTCCATTGGTAAGCATTAAATATTTCTTTCCTTTGTACAGCTTTCGCGTAAAGGCGAAAGTTTATAATCTTCAAAAAAATATGAAAGCACTGAAAAAAAATATATGAAAGCTTTCAAAAATTTCAGAGTAGGCTTGCTCATAATAATTTTAATTTATTTCTCTTTAAATAGACAAATATTGTGCCTTATACATCTTGTTCCTTTGTCGAACTCTCACATAAATCAGCTATAAAAATAATAACAAAGCTTTCACATTTTTTTTATTATAATTATTATAGTATTATTTGTCTTTACTACACATATTTTGTATGATTTTTGGTACTTCTTACTTCTATTTTTAGAAGAGCTTCCTCTAGAGCTTTCACATAAATCAGGTGTATCTATTAGTAAAGAAATCTGGAAACTTAAACAAGAAGACTACAATAACATTTAATACTTTGATCTAGCTAGCTTCGTAAGACCTTAAAGTAAAGCTCTGATAAATGAACTGGAAAACTGTATGAACTTCTTAATTTGTAGGGCACATATTTTACTTATCCGCACCAGTCTCAAGACTAGTTCCAAAACTGTTGCAAAAACCATCCAACCTGCACTTGAAAGCTGGCGGTGGCAGAGACCAGTTAAAGGCCTGAAATCTTAGTCGGTTTGACTAAAGTGTATACAACTCTGTGACAATTATGTGGCCTTTCTGTGGGGTGAGTTTACCCAAGATGTCGGCAGTTCCAAAAAAAAAATGAAAATTATTGTAAAGAAAGGCTCATAAATGTTTTCAATATTTTTGCTTTTATTGAAATATCTCGACATTCCTTTCGATACTTAAAAACAAATATCATTCATCGCCTTCGAAGAAAACAGAGCCATGATGGCGAAGATCCACAAGCCGTACCAAACATTAACTCGTCGAGGATGTTCACGAGACCTCAATTCTTGGACCAATGGGACTTTGTGAGCTCTCATACATAAAGCGCCTTCTAAAAATCAATCAGTCTTTGAGAAAAATTGCAAAAAAACCGCCACAAACTGAAAGAGGACCTCGCCCGACACATAATCCAACTGTTTTAAAGCGTTCTCAATAGAAAATAGACAAGGCACAATCTTTTACAAGAGTCTACAACTGATGACTTATGCCGTTGACATTAATATCATAGATCTTAACAACCGGAATGTTATTGTAGTTCCCCACTCTAAGCTTGACAAAGGAAAAAAGTGAATAGATCTGGTAGAATCAACAGATGCTACTTTGAACTGAGTATACAAGTTAGAAGTAAACTCCTCTCCCGACGAACAGAATCAAAACTCTACAAGTCATTCATCATTCCCGTCCTGCTATATGGTTAGAAGACGGTATGATGTCGACATCCCATGAATCGGCCTTAGAAGTCTGCGATAGACAAGTTTTAGAAAGATGCATGGTCATCTCAGAATGAAGAGGCATCGGTTACGGTTAAGCTGGCTACGCCATCTTGGCCAATTGAACGAAAGTGCGCTAGTTTTAAAAGTATTCGAAGTAGAGGAAGATGAAGGAGTGATCTTCGGCGAGCTGATCCACCTATTTGTAGTATTCATTCTTATATTTTTTCAAGAAATGAAGAAACCTTCCTACCTATATTCCTAGCTGCCTACAAACGGCTGTGAGAACTTTGTGAGAATCTTTTTAATTTAGTTCAGGTTATTTCTTTACTTTTTGATGCTGATCTGGCTATGACTGGAACCCAGAATCCTTGGAATGGCAGTACGCAGTTTGAACCATTCGATTATTATTGCTGTCGGAGGTATGAGGTTTCTGAAACCAACAAAATGACGAGGATATAAATTCTGAGGCTCCTTAAAGAGCTCATGAAGATCCGTAGCTAAAATAAAATATAAAAAATTTAGACTGAAATCAAGTGTATTTGGACTTCACGACCAAGAGTCAATCGTAGGCGTGTTCAGTTTTGAAAAATTGTATAAGTATAACAAGGTTCGTAGCTATCGCCGTGCAGATCTGCGGAGGAGAGTAGAAAATATAAATTTTTATAAACATCCACCAAAGAACTCCTGTCGCCCTACACAACAATCATCTTACCGACATAATCAGACGTAGATCCAAAACGAAAACGTGCTGAGCTGTAATTTCAATGCGTTGTAGCTGTAACTGTGTCGAAAACTGATGTACCACTGCGCAATATCTCTTCAATGCAGGCTTCGAAGTTACCGTAACAAGTCTGCTAACCAAATGCGAAATGTTGTCACCCTAAAAGTAAGCAATCCGTTCATAAATATGTCTTTACAGAGTCGCTTAGAGCAAAACGGATGAACAAACCAATTCTTTACACTGATCACATACAAAACAAAGCTGCCAAACGATCACGCTGAAGGGCAACACCGCCGGCAGACCGACGACAAAGGTATAACGTGAGCCATAACCATCCAAGCCCAGCAGAGACCAGTACACATGACAAGTGAAATCGAGCATATAACCAAAGATGATGCCAAAAAGCGACCAACCTGCAAAATTATTAAACAAACCCACAGCTTTAAAGATCAACGCATAGTTCTCTTTGAACGCAAGCAGAAACGTCAAGGACTCGAGCTTCTCATAGTTCACATCCAGCACGCGTCGTTCAGGCGCAGTACGGTAGGCGACCAATTGTCGTAATTTGAAGCATAAGCATTCCATGTAGTGGCGCAGTATACATGCGTACAATAATAACTGTAAAATACGCATGCGCAAAGTGAGTAACGAGAACGCCGCATGCCATAAGTAACCGATATCGTTCAACAAAACCGAGACGCTGGTGAATATAACGAAACCCACAAGCGAGAGCGTCACCAATCCCAGCAACCACCGTCGCAAACTCTGCCGCAACGCATGCTGTCTGGTATCACAACTCAGCCGCAACTGTAGCGACACTTCGATTTCCGCCAACAATTGCAGAAATGTCTCATTTTCCACACGTTTCCATAGCGCTTCCATAAAAATGGCGAGGTGTGTTAGTAACTGTGTTGTATACACCAATGTAGCCACCAGCCAGGTGAGTGCAAGTCCATCTTCAATTTTCCGCGCATACAGTCCATGTACGTAAAGTGTGCAAGCGATTAGGGCGAGCAACGCCACATACATGCGTTCCAGCACAAAAGTTATTCTCAACGGTTCGCTTAACCAAACCGCACGTCGCTGTGTTGGCTGCCTTTGGCTGGCCTCTCTCAACGCGTGCTCACTTCTAGAGCTCACATATATGCCGAAAATCGTACAGCAGCGTAGCCACACACGTAAGTACTCATACTCTGCCATTGCGTAAATGTCGAATGCAACGCTGTTGGTGTGTGCTTTTAAAGCCTTTCGTTGATGGACTCTGAGGGGCAGTAAGCGGCAAGTAATTTGTCTTAAACATTAATTACAATCGTTTTCGAGTTATTAGTGCTGTCATACACTTGGACAAATTATGGCATTAAATAACGGTACGTAAATTGCTTTTAAATTTATATTGAGAACGAATGAATGAAGGCAATAATCCATCAACCAATGAAATGCCCTTTCTCTCAAAAAAAAAAAAAAATACCACTATCTTGGCGAAATTGGACGGACGGACATTAAGCAGTAACTGCCGAGAGTCCATCCACAACAGAGACGTCTTCAAGAGCAACTGGTTCATTGCTACAGGAATGGGTCTTAGTAAGACGTGAGTACGACGTAACTAACGGCCGAGCGGTAACACTACGTTCTAACATGCGAAATGCCAGGAAATGCCAAAATTGTCTATGAATATCTATCATCCTCTAAGAAGCTCTTGATAACAGACCATCAACTTATCGTTAGCGTCTTAAAAAAGCATCAAGTCGCACATCACAGACCAGAGAAATATATCTGCTGAAACCGAGTCAGCAAATTGGTTAGGTTATACTGGCTAACTGCGGCGCCTTACATAGGCCTCTTGGGTTTATATAATACCAGATATAGACTCAATTTCATTTGAGGTAGAGCAGTCAACGCTTTTTCTGTAGTTTAAGAAAACCTTCATATCTTGTTATGAAATTTCAGCTAATCCTCTGAATAGCAAAGCTCACAGATGTTCGCGTTGTGGCCAGACAAAAGCGGTGGAAGTGTGCCAATGTCTCAACGACTTCCTGCAGTCCTTTCGAAGTTGCGTAAGCAAAAACTGGTTACGTCTTCCTATGCTGTCATTGTACATGGTTTAAGCAGTCTTACGTGCCGTTAAACGGATCTTAGACAGATCCGTCTGGCTGCTGTCTCGAAAATTTCAATGCACTAAAGACTTTCCGCTTTCATGTGCAGGCTCGATCGTCAGGCGGATGGTACTTTTGGCAATCATCAACTATTTCGCCTCATCCAATGCTTTTGTGGCCTGGAACCTTGAAGTTGTGCAGTTAAGAACTTCCCTGTATTCACCTTATTCACTGCCTTCATGTTTCAAAGCACATTTTCTGAAAGAACACGATGGGCGAGTATTAACTTAAATGCAGCTGGGTTATATACTTGACTGGATTACTGCAAAAATCCGGTATATAGAATTGTCTGGGAACTAGCTCAGCGCAGCAAGATCCTGCACCCACTCCATCAATCAGCTTTTAACTGTCCATACAGATGTTCTAGGTTCCGAAGGTGAGTCGCAAGATCCGATACATGGGGTACGTCTTCTTTCGACTTGGCGTGTCTGCGATTACTAAACGCAATTTATGTACATTTTTACATTTGCTCATACAGGCAACAGTTAAGATAAGGAGACCGGAAAGACCGATTTTTTTTTCTCGAGTTGCTTCAAGAGAAAAAAGCAAAGAAGGTGAGTGATGTAAATTTTCTATTTCGCTAATTTAAACAAACTCGGGGCAATTTCCATATTAGAAGAATTGGAGCCAAATTCTCACCAATCGGAAGGTCATTCATTCGAGTCCAAGTCACAGTACAGTCAAGGTTGCTTTCATCTCAATATTCTCCACGCGGCTTTTACAATGTGGGTCAGGTTGAATTATTAATCCGAGGTGAGGAATAAAAAATCTCGATTTTATCGAGAGAGAGAGAAATCTAAAGTCTTTCGGTCGAAGTAAATGCTGACGTCATTGACCGAAGTAACCTTCCGCAGAGCTTCCTTGATTGCTGCCACTTGAGCTTATAAAAATCTACACGGATCAGAAAGTCTAAAACGAAAACCGTTGCGAGTTCATGACAGAAAGCTTGCACACCGAGTCTTGCATCCAGCCTCGAGACAGTCGTGAAGAATGGTATTTTTGTCTTGACACAAAATATAGCAAAAAATGCTCCATTTGTATATTTTTCGGAACATGAGATAACGGTTAATTTGCTAAGCAAACATTCTTGTTATGTTTAAAATATATTGAGCCATAAAGTATGGTTCAACATAAAATTCCGTGAAATCTACAATGTTACTAAACCTGTACAAAAAATAAAATGTGTCTTACCATAATTTATGGCTAAGCTTAAAATAATGCAAAACATTAGATCTTGCTTAACTAAAAATTTTACATAATATATAAAGTAAAATATGTCTTACCATTATATTTGACCAGCCATAAGTAGTGTAAGGCAAAGTATCGGTAATGAAAAAATGTTGAAAAACAAAAAATATTGCTAAAGTTCTTCTTAAATTAAAAAAAAATTTTTAACATAAATTATATCTAAACATAAAATTTTGCCTCAGATGAAATACCGCTTAAAATAAATTATTGCAAAACATAGAACTTTACAAAATTTGTGCTAAAAAGTTTTATAAAGAATTGTTGAACATATTGCTAAACGTAAAATGTTGCTCAAAATAAAATCCTTGATTGCAAAATAATGTACTGCTGACTATATGACGTGTGTATATATAATATGTCTACCTATAAAGTATGACATGCAATAAATTATGGTCTAACATATGGTTTTCGTTTGGTTAAGAATAAAATGGTGATTTATAGAAATTATTTCTAACCATAAAATATGGCTAGCTATAAAATATGTCTAGTCATAAAATATTGCTAATGTTGCTAAACAAAAGTAGATCAACTTTGAATAAAATGTCCTTAAATAGAAGTATGTTTTTGTTAATATAAAACCATAAAGTTTTGTTTAAAAATAGATTTTTAAGGAAATCAAAATTTAAAAAAATAAAATGTTATCGAAAATAACTTTTGGGAAAGAAAAAATTTGTCTAACTATGAAAGATGTTTAGCCAAAAAATATGGCTTAACATAAAATATGTCTTACCATAAACTTTTGATTTACAAATATATAAAAATATATATAAAACTAATCTTTAATTATATATTTCATTTAAGCAGTTTTCACTGTACTTCACGTCTACGCCTTTTTCCAGTTCGCTTTCGCTTACATAGTGTACTCAGATACATCTAATCTCTCACCTGATATCTTACACATTTTTAATTATTGTCTACGCTACTATGAAAATGTTAAAATTTCCACTGGACTCACAGACAAACGGAAAATGGAAAGACAACTGCGTGGTTGGTTACGCTACTGCGTTTATTTTGGTATTTATGTGGGCGTATATGAGGATACCAGCGCCACCACCATCAGCGAAACCGGTGGCGACACGAACAACAAGATTGCACTTTGTGCCACACAAAGATGCCACGGACAGCGACCGCAGTGGTATAGAGGTCAACAAAATAACAAAATTTTTCGGCAGCAACGTCTCTACTTATGGCTCCTAACACTCGTACTCTACACAGTCTACTTCCTGGGCTTGTATACGCGCTCCTCGTATCCCGGCATCTCTTGGGTAGCGGCGACAATACTTTTCACCGTACACGTACTCACAATGACATTGATGATGCGCGAGGCTTGGTGCAAGCAGGCACAACATGATCTCTTTCTACAAATTTTGGAAAAGATCGAGACGGCGTTACGTTTACGACTGCGACATAATGTGCAGAGTGCACAGTTGTTGTGCGACTTACGTCGGCTCATTGTTTATCTGAGCGTTATATCGGCGCTGGGGTTTGCGCTCTTTGCGCTAACCACCATGTGGTTGAGCTATGTGGATTATTTCTGGTTTGGCTTCTGGCTGATAATTATTATACGCGTACGGGTCATCCAGTTGATAGTTTACTTATGTATACTGCGCCACTTCCTACGCTGCTTATGTGCACAACTACGTCTAATTGTGGCCTACCACACAGCACGAGGACACACGATTCTGGATGTGGACGGTGTGCACTTGCGTTCGTTAAAGTGCCTGCTAGCGGTGAAGGAGATTTATGAGTTGTTGCACAGAGAGTTTCAGCTCCTCAATGAATTCGCCGGCTGGTCGCTGTTTACCAGCATAAGCTCGTATCTGTTGGATGCCATTTGCACGCTCTATTGGATGTTGCTCAGTTTGGATGGTTTTGTGCGGCGGCGGAACTATGAAATTGCCGGCATATTTGTGCTGCTACCATTGGCATTGTTTCTTTGGTATTTGATGTTTTTGTGCGATAACTGTAAACAGTTGGTGAGTTGATAAATAAATATAATTACAACAAAAACATAAATGTATAATTTGTTTTTAATTTGTTTTTGTAGGGTCGCACGGTGGCCCATTTGCTGAGTAAATTGATACTTATGAGCGCGAAAAATCCCTCCCTCCGACTACATCGCCTTCTTCTCTATCAGTTTTCGGCTCAACTACAAATACAAGAAATCGATGTTACCGCTCACAATTTTTTTGTGTTGGAAATGCGTTTTCTTATAGCGGTGAGCCTAAAAATATGAAACCTTCATCATAATGCTAACCACTTGAAATCTCTTTAATAGATCTGCGCTGTCATCGTGGCCAATCTGGTCATTTTATTGCAGATTTTGAAGTCGTAAAATTCATTCATTATTACTTATATGTATATGTATATATATATTTTTGTGAAATTCGTGAGATTATTTATAGTCTGCATATTTATAAAATAAAGTAAAAGTTTTCCTTAAAGTTTAAATTTTATATATTTTTTTCATTCATTATTAATTTTTGCTATATATTTTTCATAGTACTTATCCCTACGTTTATTCTTTTCATTATGCTCATCGTCAGTTTTACTCCTTTGCTTATCCTTTACAATTTTCATTTTTTTCTTTTATTTTTCTTGATCCTCGTTTTTTTATTTCCTTTTCTTTTTCATTACTTTCCCTTTACTTTTATCATTAATTTCCCTTTACTTTTTTCTCTTTGAATTTTACTATACTTTTTCCTTATGTTCATCTTTATCCATATATGTACTTATCCTTGTCTTTTAACATATGATTTTGCTTCTCTTTCCTCTCCTTATGTTTATCTTTATCCTTTTACGTACTTACTCTTGTCTTTTAACATATGATTTTGCTTCTCTTTTCTTTATTCTTAACTTTATTGTCTTCTTTTTCCACATTATTTTTATTCTTCCTTCCCTCTTTCGCGTTCTTTTGCGCTTTGATTATCCTTTCTTTTGTCTTTTCCTTTTCCATTTGCTATTCTTTTAACTTTCTACATCCCTTTTCTTATCTCCATCATTTTCGTCTTTCTTTTCCATTTCATTTGCCTTATTATTTTACTTTTCGTTTTCTTTTTCCTTTTTCTTAACTCTTCTCGTCCATATATTCTTACTTTTACTTCTCACTATGCATATGCTTATTCTCATCCTTTCTCTATTACTTACTAGCTAGCTTATTTTACGTATCCGTTACTTTATCCTTTCTTTATTTTTATCCTTTTTCATTTTTCGTTTTCCTTTCATATTTCATTATTCTATCTTTATCCTTTTCTCTTACCTTTTTCTGTTTCACTTCGGCAGCTTTTCTAAGTCCTTTTCCTTATGCTTATTAATGTACTTATCCTTATTCTCTTGCGTATTTTTTACCTTATTTTTGCGAAAATTTTAATCCCCTTACTTATCCGCATATATATTTTTTTCAATGCTTTATTCGCATGCCTATCTTTCATACTTCATTCCTTATAACGCACTCATATCTCATCCTTTATACTTCATCGTTATGCTCGTCTTCATCCAAATCCCTATCTTCATCCTCATTCTCCTTCTTCATTCTGTTTCGCCAGTCCATTTTTTTCCAATATTCCTGCTCATTGTCGTTCTATTTCTTATGCTGTTAGTATTTTTTAAGTCGTTTTGTGAAAAGTGGCAACATTGCAGCAACAAAGGCAGTTAGTTTACTTTCTGGTTTAAATATAAAAATAGATAATGAAAATTAACTGGCTGTTGCCACTTTTCACTTTCGTAGTGAAATTTTTTTTTTAATATTTATAAAGAATTATTTTTGTAATGCTCAGTTTAAATTGCCCTGAAACAGCTCTCTTTACATTATTTTTCTTATAAAAAATATTACCTTAAAATTTTCTGCACAACGTTGCCAATTTTCTGTGAATATTATATACATACATACACTATCTTATTTTCTTCATTATACTCGAAGAAGTTTTTAAGTTTCAGGCTAAAAGATTAAGCAACTTTCCTAACAAGATTTTTGCTTTAGTAGCTGCAATGCTGCCACTTTTCATCTTTTACGTATTATTTACATACGAGAACATATGATTTTTTAAAAATACCAATTTTTATTTTTAAAATAAATTTTGAACAGTTCGTTGCACACTCAGTTTTTCCAATGTCAAATCTTGTTACAATTTTCCCTCATATAATGCAAGGTTGCCACTTTTCATCTTACAAAAAGTATTATTGCTTTTTGATTTCGCACAGATATTATATATATTAATGGTCAGTTTGAGCAATGTATGCTCATGCGTGTCTTCCCTTATTTCCCGTTTGCTCACAATTTCGTTTTCGATCTTAAATTTTTTAATGTTTGTGCTTGTTATAATCTCCTTTCTAAGGCCACTAAGAACTTTCATTGTTAGAGGCACAAAAGTTATTCACCTTTCAAGCTACAATGTTGCCACTTTTCAGCATCTTAATAAGTTTTCTTTGTGATGTTGTAGAATTATTATTTGAATGTTCGGTGTATATTGCTGCTACGCGCTGTTTTCTTATTATTTAATTTACTCCAAAAAATAAAATTATTTTTAATTATCTAGACAACGTTGCCAATTTTCCATGAATAAGAATCATAGTTTCTATACAATTGTTATACTGCTTAGACATTGTGTCTGAGTCTGAGCGAACTAAAAATGATTATTCGCCTTTGATATTGCCACCTTGTTACATTTCTACTTCTTTGAGATATTTTCTTGTGTCATTTTATAATTATTAGTTTTTTCTAACTCAGTGTAAACTGCTTCGGCCTTGTTGCTTGCTATAGTTTACTTCTCAGAATTATTTTCTAAATTTTTTATCCAGCGTTGCCAATTTTCGATGATTTTTAAGATGTTATTTTTAGATCTCACTGTTATAATGTAGTAAAAAAATTATTCTCCGCACTCGCCAGTTACTTTTCTGAAATTTTAAAATTTCTAAACGTATTGCCGACCGCGTTGTTGCCAATTTTCCCCCTATATCGGCAATAGAATTTTGGAAATCGCTTCGTCGAGGTCAAGGTTTTTGAGCATCAACTATATTTACACTTTCTTGCAAATTTTCTTTTTTCATACCGCATAAGGCGGCAAAAATCGTATAACACTTTTAAAAATCGATTTTCCGTTATCGCTAACACATCAATTATGCAACCCGACATTAATTCATTTGTCAAAGATTATCGCTTACGCTTTACGCTGGCTTTCCATAATCCCGACAGTATAGCTTCGATGACCAGTCAGCAAGGTTAGAACGGAGCAAATGGAACAACAACTGCAGGCTTGGCTACGCTACTGTGTGTACTTCGGCATTTATGTGAATGCAACGCCCTCTACGGAGCGCGTAAGTTCAACGGAGCTTTGCTGGGCTACCAAGCAGCTGTACAGAAAACGCAATTTCTATCATCCGCGCGCATATATTTACTTCCTTGCCTGCATCACTTGCATTGCGTTTGCGTTGAGCCTCGTGTGGCACACTTATCCACCAGATTTGCAACTCAATTGGATAGCGACGTGCATACTTTTCATCTCGCGCTACGTCACAAACTCACTCATACTGCTGGAAGCGTTGCGGAAGAGGCGTGAACATGATGAGTTTCTCAAACTATTGGTGGAGATTGAAGCGTCCCTGCGTATACGCTTGCACTGGCAGGTGGAAAGCCGGCAGTTGCTGGCACAAATAAAAGGATTTCTCAAATTCCAGTTGGTGCTCTCCTTCCTCGGTCTGCTGCCCTTTATGGTATTCTCGTTAATAGTTGTAGAGTATGGCGGCTACTTCTGGCAAGGTCTGTGGTTCATATGCACCGCGCGCTTACGCACGCTGCAGTTGCTCGTATATCTACGAATTTTACGTCACTACTTGCGTGGTTTATGCCTGAAGTTGCGACAAATTATGGAATTTCACATGGCGCCCAGTTGCCGTTTGCTCGATATTGATTATGGCCGTTTGGGCACGCTGAAATGCCTGTTAGCGGTGAAGGAGACTTACACGCTAATACACGAAGCAATACAGTTACTTAATTATTTCGCCGGCTTGTCGCTGTGGGGCATTATCATTTCGTGCGTTTTGGATTTGAGCTCTAACTTTTATTGGGTGCTGCAGAGCTTTGATAATTTTCATGGTCGCCGCTATTATTATTTGATCGATCTGTGGTGGTTCGTTCCAGTTACCGTTTTAGTTTGGGAACTCTGTTATGTTTGCGATGATTGCATGCGTTTGGTATTTATTTGTGTTTTGTCATGGCATATTATTTCTTAACAGCTAAACGTAGCATACTTTCAGGGCTGTACGTTGACACAACTCTTGAGTAAAATCATTGTTTCAAGTACCTCAGGCATAGGCAGGAATTATCGCATTGTACTGCAACAATTCTCCATGCAAATGCAACTTCAACGTATTGAAGTTTCAGCGTGTAATTTCTTCAAGCTGGACATGCGTTTTGTAATGTCGGTAAGCCCAAATGTAGGCCACATAATTTGTGAAGAGAGTTTTAATTGATATTTACTTACCATCCGCAGATTTGCACCGCCATGGCTATGCACTTGGTTATACTTATACAATTTTAAACTAAAACTAAAATAAATCAAATATAAAGTTAAAATTGAGTACTTACTGGGAACTAGTAGTCTATCCCAGTTATGGTGCGTTGTGAGTTATCAAGTGGTAGCGCCGCGGCTTCGAACTCAGTTCTGGTCAACATTTAATAGTTAAATATATAGAAAAAGATGAAATTAGATCATGCTTCCTGCGAATTATGCCACCGAGTAACTTCTTCTTTTCTTATTCTTCTTCTTCTTCATGTTCTACATTGGCGCAGGCACCGCTTACGGGTTTATAACTGAATCAAAAATAGCGCGCCACTCCTTCATTTTCTCGCTCTTAGGCGCCAGTTGGGAATTATAAGTGAAATCAGGCCGCTCCCCACCTGCTGGGGGTTTTCCTCTTCATCTGCTTCCACCAGCGGGTACTACATCGAATACTTTCAACACTGGATGGAGATGATATCTGGATCAGTTACTGTAATTTCTTCTCGGCGGGAGGCAAAGAAAAAGCCGGTGATCTGACTGACACTGACGAGCATGACAGCCTGAGATCTTTCAGCGTGTTCAAATGTTGCCCAAAACAATGGATCATAAAGGAACACTTAAGGCCCTAGAGCACATCCAATTCAGATTCAAGCACTAAACAGAGTGGGGTAGAACGGAATGCTTTTACCAGCCCTCTTCAAGCGGGTAGCCAAGGTTGAAGATTAGATGAAATTAAAAGAGTTCATGAAGTCAAGCAAAGTTTCCGCCAACGCAAAACTTGGGATTCTGAGAGGGAGTACAATGAGCCTAATCGATGGCTTATGTGCGGCTACTTGCATATAGCCCATCGACTCTACCTCTTAACCAACTAACCAAACTATTTTCTGTAATATACCGCGACCGATTCAAGGTTATCGCTGACTTCAGGTTTTGTAGTCACCCATCTTAGTTCGGAATCGTCTGAAATCTGAAATAAAAACTTCCCAGGAAGAGCTTACGACGAGCTTATTAAATATCTGAGTTCGTACTGGATGGGTCGCCGCTGTGTTTCAGAGCCTCTAATTGTCAAAGTTTTCCCTTAGAGGAAAGCCAGAAGTAGATCTCTACCATTTATTAATACCTACAGTAAGGTGTAGAACCTCAGCTTTTGGTGTAGAAACTTGCGAACTCCACGGGACTTGGTTAACAACTCTCGTATCTCGTATTCCTTATTGTTTTAGGGGCATAAAAGCGGCCACAGTGTCGAGTTGAGGGATGCAAGACAAAAAATACTTCCTTTTACCATCTATTTTTGTCTAGTTCCGTTGGATTTAAAGCTGTATGAAAGGGATAATCCCACGCAATAGAAACCACTTTTGAATGAGTGCTTTGAAAGCTTCCGACACAAAGTCCTGATACCTAGAATGGATTAAGTGAAGACAGACTTGGTTTGATGTTTGCCGGACTGGCGAGCGGCTATAGTCGCTTAAGAGCTAGCTTCATCAAAAGAGAATAAGAGAAATACATTTTTAATAACTCTGAACTCCGAATTCATCAAAAGCTTTCATTTTTATTTCTTTACATTTAACTTTACGACTTCAAAAACTGTATGAGGATCACCAAATTCATCGCAATTGCTGTGAAGATCTGTAAAGAAAATATTACAGTTATGATATTGTGAAGTAAATAATTAAGAGTGGATCTAATAAAAATTGACTAACTGAGGAGAGGCCACTTTAGGAGTTCAAAAAGAGGAGTGATTAAGATTTAGAAAGTCAGAGAATGAAAACTCACTATGCTCTTTGAGCCTAATGAGAATTCACTTGGAAGAGGAAAGTATAAACTGACTTTCAGGGTTATGGGCTCAGTAATAGATATACATCGAAGAGAGTTCTCAGGTGTCTAACAGTGTCCAAAACATTAGCTGAGTGGTTTGCTGTGCGACCAATTCCTGCGTGGGATCATGACTTCGCAAAATGGGCAGATCAACATACAAAATAATAGAAAACTAATTAAACTGTCATTTGCGGTCATCCCTCGTTTGAAAATTTCGACCTCTCCGAGTGTATTTCTGAACTTAAATGAAAAATCTCCCCACAAAATTCTATAAAACCTCATCCACATTCATCGGTTATAAAGCGCAAATAGTATAAATATAAGTATACAATTATTCTTACCGCCATCAAAAAGCGTAATTCCAATGTAAAGAAATGCTTTCCAGTCACCTCCATGCGTTGTAGTTGTAACTGTGTAGATAGTTGATACAATACGAGACGATGTGAGCGCAAAGGCGCCGCATTGCTCATTATCTGTATTCTACACAGTAAATGCGCTGCCCTTTGAGCCTATAAGTATGCAATTAATTGCTGAATTTCTTGTCATCACCTACCCTCAATACTCACCAACTTCATACAATTATCACACAAATAACACAAATGACAAATGAGCGCAATCAGCGGAAACATGGCGGCCGGTCCGGCAATATAATAGTAACGTCGACGTGCGAAGCCATCAAAGCTCAACAGCGTCCAATATACATTGCAACTAAAATCGAACATATAACAGGTTATAATGCTGAACAGCGACCAGCCGGCAAAATTGTTCAGCAAACGAAAGCACCTATGCAATAGACTGTAGATCTCCTTAACGGCCAACAGATATTCCAATGAGGCCAACCTCTCATAATTAATATCCAACATCTGTTGGTCCGGCGCCCTACGATACGCCTCAATTTGACACAATTTCGCACAAAGGCAACGCAGATAGTGACGCAAGATACGTACGTACATGATGATTTGTATTAATCGCAAACGCATGGTCACTATGGACCACAGTCCGTGCCAAAAGTAGCCGATATAATTGAGCCACAGCGAGGTGATGATGAAAAGTGTCATGGCGGCGAGTGAGATGACCAGCAGATGCACCAAATGTGCACGCATATTCCTGCATAGCGCCAGCCGTTGCACATCTTGACGCAAACGTAGTTTCAGCGATACCTCAATCTCGTCGAGTAGCGTGAGAAAGGTTTCATGCTGCGACCTCTTCCAAATCGTCTCCATTATAATGAGCAGATTCGTGCATATTTGCGAAGTGAATATAACTGTTGATGTTATCCAAGTGAGCATGAGACCCGGTATGTAGCCACGCCAGTACAGGCCATGCGTGTAGAGTACACAAATGGTGCAGAGCAAAAAAGACACGTGTAATTGTTGTAGACGCGCGTTCACAGTGACTTGCTGCCGCGTTTGAGACCAAGCTTCTTGCTTGTGATCTCTGTCACGCTTATTATTTCTTATTGTTATTATTTTTGCTGTGTTCTCATTATTTTCTCGCAAGTAAACGCCTAAGGGTATGCAATAACGCAGCCACACACGTAACTGTTGCTCCATAATGCGAAGGTTTAATGAGACTAATACTAAAACTTTTATACAAATTTACATTCCAGTGGCACGTGGTTCGATATTTTCTGTAAGTAAATGAAAAGAAATTAAGATTAACTCGGCGATAGACGTTGAAAATTTCACAGCGTGGGGGCAGAGTTAAAGTGACTTGAAGTATTGTAAATGAAGCTTATCTTGACGCTGTTGTCACAAAAAAAAAACTCAGTAAAAATAATATTAATGCACATGTAACGTAAGCGTGATTGTATTTATGTAAATATATACATATGTACGTGTATATGCAAATTTTAGAGTTCTCTGCTATATTCCTTTGGATTAAGATGTAAAAAAAATTAAAAAGAACACATGTAAAGTCTTTAAAGAAAAAATCCTGCGAAGAATCATACGGTACTAAAATTCAATTCAAAGAAACGATATGGAAATGAAACACTATGAAACGAATTGGAATGGAACATTTATAATAAACAAAAAATTCTATTTGAGCACACTATCAATGAAACTTGCTTTAAGAGTGTCAAAGGAACGATATGAGAATGAAATAAACAGCAAAAATTTGATTTTGAATAAGTAATTGGAGAAGAACTTATAGAGAAATATAAATCTAACATAACCAATAATGATTTTGAGCTATAGAGAACGATGTGAATATGAACCCCTAAGGGTAAGGGGTTCAAGAAGAAGAAGTTCCCGCGACAGCCGGGTCTTTATATCGGAACGAACCGGATTTTCATCAGTCCAAGTACTGTCACTCTCAGAGCAGACCCCAAAAAATACTTAGCTTGGCATTTTCTTATGCCTTAGGAACGTCGCGGAAATGAAATGCATTTAAAAAAAGTATAGCGTAAAAAATAAATATTAATTTAAAAAAAAGAAAGTGAAGTGAGATATTATTAGAAAAAAAATTAAGAATATTATTTATAATCCGATCGAATATGGGAATGGAACACAATAGAATAGAAATAATCAGCATAAAAATAAACTTAATAAAAAACACAACAATGCAACATAAAATTTTAGCGATATTAATTTTTAAGCTTGATTTTCTACAGCGAGTAACGATATGGAAATGGAACATAACGAAGCAAAATAGAATGGTATAGTATTAATAATAACTTAAAAGTATATTCAAGTACGCTACTCATAAAATAAGCTTTTGAAAATTTGATAGGAACGATTTGAGAATGAAATGGGATGCAAAAATTTTACTTTAAGACTTAAAGAAAATATAATGTTTAACATGACCACATTGAGGAACCAAGATATTTGCAACGAAAAAAAGCACAAACTGGCCACAAGCAAATTTGAGGAAATTTGCTTAAAAAAATGAGTATGGGACATCTTGGGACCAAAAGCGAAGAGTTAAAAAATTAAAAAGATTAAAATGAGACAATGTAGCGATCAATTTTATCAATATTAAATAAAAAGATAGAAATAATACTGTGAGGAACGTTGTGGAAATGGAACATCGGGAAACGAATTGGAATAGAGCAATATTAGTAATTAATAATATTCAACAATTAATTCATATTTAAACGCAGTACATCTTATAGAAATGTTAAAGGAAATTTTATGTAAACGGAACGAAGTTATTTGGAATGGTGTAATCTTTAAAAACAAAGAACTGTTATGAAAACGAAACAAATTGATGTGGACATTCAATAATAATATTTTAAAAAAATATCATAATTTTTCTGGAGGGAATGACAAGGGAACGAAAACGTCGTACAGTTGTCGATCTTAGTAGAGTTTACTTTATCACCCATTCAGGCATTCATCGAAACTGGATAGAGGAGCTCTCTTCAGCGCTTCAAGCTCGCAATTTGAAGACGGTCGAGAACTTCAGCAATTCTTGAGCTAATAAGACACTTGCTTGCCGGAGCACATATGAAATTTTTTTTTACTACCAGATTGCACTTATCTTCGCGAAGGGTTCGCTCCGTAAGGCTGCAGCTCGGAGTATTTTGTTAGGTTTGACGTCACAATCGGCTATGTTACAGCGTTTTATCCTCGTATGTGTTAGCTGCACGCTAAAGATACTACCTTATCTAGCTTGTAGAGATGATATCTCTGCGGCCGATACTCCATCAGTTCACCAAGAAGAAACTCTACTGCTTAGTACCAGCAAGAGTTTCGTTTAGTGCTACACCTTACATTGAAGATATTCCTTTGGGTTTATACCACTGTTTCATACAATATTTGAGGGTGGTCTTAGGGTCTGGCGAGCTTACCAGCGATGGCAGTACGAATTAGCTCATCCGCTTCTTCATTCATCACCTTCTTCGATCGCATGACCTGAACACAAAAAATTTTCTTGTAATAACCTTTTCATTTCCTCCTTGCACCTTTCTTTTGAAAATTTATTTATTTAAAATCTTTTTTAAACGAAATTGACAAAAAAGAAACTTTTACTCTAAATGCGTAGGAATTGTATGATGATGACCAAATATGTTGCTATGGCTGTGCAAATCTGTAAAAAAAAAATAGTTATAAAGAAAACTTTTTTGAAGTATACATTTATTCTCACCGACATAATTAAACGCATATCCAAAGTAAAGAAACGCTTTGCTGATACCTCGATTTGTTGCAGTTGTAATTGCGTGGAGAATTGTTGTAGTAAAATGCGATAAGAACGCAAAGACTTTGAAGAGCGCTTAATAATCATACGACATAGCATACTAGCAATTACGCGATCCTAAATGTAGGCAACAAATACGAGTTTAGTAAGAGAATTAGAGCGAAGAAAAGAAGAGAATATATGAACAACTCACAAGCTGTCTACAGCTGTGGCACAAATGACAAATATGCCAAGTGATCAGCGACATGGGTAGCAGCCACCAAAAGCAGGCGATGTAATAATTACGCCGCTCCAAATAGCCTTCCCAGCTGAGCAGCGACCAATAGAGCGTACAACCATAGTCCAGCATATAACACAAAATAATGCTGAACAAAGACCAACCGGCAAAATCGTTGAGCTGTTGAAACGCCTTGAAGAGTAGGTCATAAATCTCTTTGATCGCCACGAGATACTCGAGTGATTGCAGTCTTGCATAATTCACATCCATCAGCTGACGACTTGGTGCCACACGGTAGGCAACTAACTGACTCAACTTCATGCTGAGGCATTCCAAATAATGCTGCAACACACGCACATATATCAGCAGTTGTATTAAACGCAAACGCATCGCTATGGCAAACCATATGGAATACCAGAAATAGCCAATATATTGTAGTTCCACAAAATTATATACGAAAAGCACAAAAAATAACACCGAAGTCCATAAAAGATATCTAAGTAGCCAACGCACACGTGGCAACAGCCAATCCAGTCGCACATCCTGTCTCAAGCGCAACTTCAATGACAACTCAATCTCGTGCAGCAGTCGTAGCAAGGTCTCGTGCTCCTGCTGCCGCCACAACGCTTCACCGGCCAGCAGGAAATTCGAGAGCGCTTGTGAGCTAAAGAAAATTGTTGCAACCGTCCAGCTGAGCATTGTGCCCGGTACGGGTTTCCTACGCAAAAGGCCATTCACGTATAGTACGCAGAGCAGCGGCATCAGTAGGCGTAGATAAATTCTTTTCAAACGTTCGCGTTGAAATGCTTGCCGCTGCTTAAGCCACATTTGACGTTCGCCACGCAGCGCTGATGTGTTGGCTGGGCAGTGGTTTGAGTTGTGGATGTACGGCGTAGCTTCTGTTGGACTCACATAGAGTCCCAAAACTATGGAGTAGCGTAGCCAAGCGCGTATTTGTTGCTCCATTTCACGTACAACTCGCCGGCGATACTAAATTGTGAAATTAGCTTTATTGCGGTCGCATGTTTTTCACGATGTCGCGTTGATGCCAATGACAGTTAAGAGGCTGATAAAAAATAAATTAAAAATATTAAGAGTCAATAGAAACTGTGGGGACACATGTATTGTTAAAAATGTTTGACGTAGATTAGAAAACTCGTATGTGGCAGGTGGTCTGTGGGTTGTTTGTTCGGTTTCGAGTTGGTGCTTTACAATAACTTTAAAGAATCGGGTTGTGAGGAAGTTAGAATCATTCGATTTTTTCTCTTTTATAAGTCTAATCTTCATTTGATTGAAGTCCATTCAATACACTAAGCTTCAGAGTTGATGAGCTGGTGGGTGCTGCATATGACTATTGTGCGTAATCCGAGAAATCAAGTCAGCAGCAAGCTTTCTGATAATAGGTGATCATGATCGGACGTCTGAAGATGATGAAAAGGTTGGTTGTCTTCAAAATAGAAACTGTGGAAGTTGGAACCCTTGAAGCCAGAGTCGCTACACTTAAAATCTAGACGGACCAGACCAGAGCTATGAGCTGGATAATGAGACGCACGTTGTTTTCCGATATTTTTCATCTTGAAATTACGTCAATTGTAGACATTAAGCTAGTTCTCAGATCAAATTTCCTCTTTCTCTGTTTCCAACATCCACTTCAACGACATGACCTACCCCCATCGTATCCGCCGTCTCTTCATTCGCTGAATTATACCATTGTCGCCGTATGACAACATAGATCATCATCATCGTTCCATTGTATGCTGTATTCGCTGTTGCCCATTCGTAGAGGACCATAAATCTATCGGAAAACTTTTCTCTCAAAAACTTTCAAAGCCGACTCCATGAATGTTGTTTCTGTCGAGGCTTCATGTATCATAAAGTAGAAGTGGATCTTGTAGACCTTTGTCTATGTTCGTCGCGAGCGGAAACCTCATATGACGCAGTGACTCTTCTGAAGTTTCCTCCCTCTCATCCGTAACCCTAGACAGTCGTGGGTTGGTTAGCGTTGGTTATTTGTGTTTTACGTTGACGATAAGAAGCTCTTGTGCAAGCTACGATAATCGGACCTGTGAAAGATTCTGCGTAACTGCAAAAAAATGGGGCGACAGAGTTAGGGCTCGACAAACTCCACCTTTTCTTCGTCCCTTTAGCTGTGTTAAAAATCATTAGGGTGATATCCAATGCTTCTCCCGTGAGGCCTCATTAACCAATGGCCTGTTGTTAGGTTGATAGAGAATCGGTCTAGAAGGATGAGATGTTTTGATTTTTTTCGCGTCCGCCTTTGGCCAGAGCTGTTTGTTCACGTTGCACGTGATTTCATTCAGCCATTTTGCTATGCTGGCAAAGGCCATTCTAAGCCGTGGACAGAGCTAAGCCTGCACACGAAAGGGTTCCTACCCTAGCTAGCTCGTCTGCCACGGATTGCTTGTGATGTCGCTGTGTCCAGGTACCCAACCCAAGGTAGTTTTACATTTAGTTGAGAGTTTTGTTGGTAAAGGTCTGAAAACAGCTTGACTTTCGATAGACAGTAGGCGGGGATGAAGCATACTAGCGGCACTCTCAGCAAGATTGTCTCTTTACATTAAATGAAAAGCAGACCCAACCGCCCTAGTAATACACAGTTATGCATATATAACTTTATCGGCTCAATCGAATGTTTGAAAAATCTTAATCAATAAATAAACATCAGCATGCGACCAAAGTTCTGGGTTAAAATGCAATACGCCAATCATTTTCATACCTTAAACGTGCGATGGAGGAGCAGTTGTGTGGCTGGCTACGCGTGTGCATAGTATTTGGTATTTACATGCGACCACCGAATGATCGAGTCGGCGACATCAACGGTAAGGCGAGCATACGCTCTACACGTCAACTTCTCCCGCCGCAACAACTCTACATCTGCCTCATTGCATTGACACTCTGCGCACTCTACATACACGGCCTGTGCTGGTGTGGCAGTCTGCCCACACTGCAGCTCACCTGGGTCGCCAGCCTCATACTCTTCAGCTTTCAAGTGCTCACAAATTTTCTTATACTCATGGAGACTGTGTGGCGTCACCGCCAACACGCCGCCTTTCTACAGCTTCTCGCACAGATTGAGGTCGCGTTGAAGCTACGCTTACGCCAGTGTACGCACAGTGCGGCGTTACAGCGTAATTTGTGTTATATAATCGTTCGCCTCGTAGTTTTCTCACTCGTCACGCTGATACTCTTCATGATCACCTCGATTTGGTTGAATTATATTGGTTTCTTTTGGAATGGACTCTGGTCCATATTGACGATGCGTATACGCGTTATACAGTTACTATTGTACGTGCGTATGTTGCAACATTACTTGGAGTGTCTCTGCGTGAAATTGCAACAAGTCGTCGAATTCCATGTGTCGCCACAGCGTCAGCTGTTGGACATTGATTATAGCCGTTTGACTACGGTGGAGTACCTGCTGGCCATAAAGGAGGTCTACACGCTTATTCATGACGCATTTCAGCTACTCAACTACTGTGCTGGCTGGTCGCTCTTTGGCATTGTGGTGTGCTTTATGTTCGATGTGAGTTGTAATGTCTATTGGACGGTGTTGAGTTTGGACAATTGGCAGAATCGGCGTTATTATTATATAGCGGGACCAGTGGCTCTGCTGCCGCTACTTGTCATTATTTGCTATTTATGCGTTTTGTGCGGCAAATGCAAGGAGTTGGTAATTTTTCGACTTAAAATCTATATATTTTAACAAAATTGTTGCCTACTTTTAGGGTCGCCGCATAATTTATTTGCTCAGCAGTATTAAAGTGTTGAATTCCTCACAATCTGCGGCGCTCTATCGCCAAGTGTTGCATGATTTTTCGGTACAACTACACCAACAACAAATCGAAGTAACAGCACAGAATTTCTTCGTACTGGAATTACGACTTCTGCGGATTGTAAGCATGCTCTTGTATAGTTCTTATTAATGATTTATAGAGATTCATATATTTTTCTCAGCTCTTCTTTGTGACTGCTACAAATTTCGTAATACTGCTGCAGTTTCTTATACTTGAAATAGAAATGGTAGGCTTGACGGAGCCTAACTGAGGACATGCGGTAGCTCTTAAAATGGAAATTTGAAGGGAATCGGTACTTAAGAAATCTATTTAAATACACAAATATACATATACATATTTTAAAATGTGCAAAATATTTCTTAGAAAGCAAGGCCTGATTTCTTAAATCGAAGCTTAGTTCAGAGATTGCAACGAGAGATTTCAATAGAAGCCTCCGAAAAGTCAATCTTTTTTTGGACTTTTCACTCTGTTCGTTCATATTCTTATGTTTACACTGGACGGGGAAACTCTTTACTAGCTCACAGTTTGCTGGGAAATTCTATGGAACAAAACCCAGTTTTACGAAATTCCAGCTTTTTGTTATATTTCTATTTTTGAAAGTTTGTTCGACAGGTATACATATAAGACACATTCCGTTTTCCAAGAAATGGGAGACTCGTGAAGACTCTGCTGAAAGACAGGATCATTTTCGCTGGTTTGGGCAGTGCCTGCTTTATCGGCACTCGAAAAAATTATTTCAGCGGTTCTCATAGCTCCTCACACCAAGAGCTCTAGAATCGACTCTTTTTAAGTTAATATCATTCTGCTTTTCATTTCATGTTCTCCTATTCTCTTTTTTTATTTTCCTTTTCTTTTTAACTAATTTTTGTTTTATTTTACTTTATTTTATTTTTTTTATTTTGTTTTATTTTGTTTTATTTTATTTCATTTATTTTATTTTATTTTATTTTATTTTATTTCATTTTATTTTATTTTATTTTATTTTGTTTTGTTTTATTTTATTTTATTTTAATTTAATTTACTTATTCTCCTATTATATTTTATTTAATTTAACTAAAATTGTTTTATATTGAAGTATTTTATACAATTTTATTTCACTAATTTATTTGTTGAGCATTCAAAAACTGCCTTATTATCACCAGATATGCTGCTACTGCTGTAAAAATCTGAAAAAATATTTAAAAAAATGCAAATTATTTCATGTGCGTACTGTTATTATAAAAGCATGCAGTTACCGACATTACCAAACGCGTATCTAGGATGAAAAAGTTTTTTGCGCATACTTCAATGTGTTGGAGTTTTGATTGCATTGTAAACTGTTGCAAAACCAATCGATAGTCACACACAAAACGTGCTGAATTTGCAACAAAGATTTTGCGTAATAAACTCGCTAACAAACGATCCTAAATATAGGCCACAACAAGTTTTTACATGTTAACAAAATATTTCTTTTTACTTACTAATTTCTTACAGCTTTCGCCCAGCTGACAAACATACCAAACCATAGCAAGCATTGGCACCAGCCACCATATACTGCTTATATAATAATAACGACGTCTCGCAAAGCCATCCAAGCTAAGCAAAGACCAATATATATTACACGTTATATCCAACATATAGCACGTGATTATGCTGAAAAGCGACCAGCCGGCAAATTCATTCAGCAATTGAAATGCCTCAAAGAGCAGTGCATAGATTTCCCTAATCGCCAGCAGTAGGTCGAGTGATGCGAGTCTCTTGTTGTTCACATCCAATATTTGTTGATTAGGCGTCATACGATAGGCTACAATGCCACTCAATCGAAGCGCCAGACAGGGCAAATAATGTTGCAGCACACGTAGGTAAACCAGCAGTTGTATGATGCGTATACGCATAGTAATTATGAACCACAGACCATACCAAAAGTAACCGATGTATTGCAGCCAAAATGTAGTGACCAGAAAGAGTACTAGACCAGCCAGCGAAATTGTATATAAATAATATAAATATCGACGCAATTTCGCAGCAAATAAACGCTTATTAGTAGCATATCTCAAGCGGAGTTTGAAGGTAAGCTCAATGCGCTGCAGTAGTAGAAGAAAGGCTTCGTGCTCCTGCTCCTTCCATATCGTCTCTATGATAATGAGTAGATTTGTTAACGCCTGCGAGGTGAAGAGTATTGTGGCCACCAGCCAGGTGAGCATGATGCCACTTATACGCTTACGCCAGTATAAGCCATTTATGTAGACAGCGAAAACGCAAAGCAATAGTAAATAGTTGAAGCAGCGACAGATGAGTAGCTTGAGTTTATGCATAAATAGACGACGTAATGTGGTCTTGAGCTCAATTAAATCGATTGCATAATTATCCAGGTCATTCGTATGTATGCCCAATATGACTGCGTAGCGAAACCAAGCCAGAAGATGGTGATCCATATTTACCACTCTGCTTATGACTGAAGAATGTCCATGTACGCTTCGTTAGCACAATGTGATAGTAAATTTAATTATATTTGGAATCAAAGATGTAGATGGGTTTGACTAGATAAAAATTGGATAAATATATTCAGAATATTTCTATACCCTTCTATATGTGTATGTACACATCGTATCTTAGCCGCTAAAGCGATTTTCGGCCGAGCTCCTCTACCAATTTTTGGTTTTGCATCTTGAAGTTTTTCTAACTAATGGAGGGACCTACAATTTATTCTAAGCCGCATCCGAGGAGCCTTTATTTCATGTGAGAAATACTCTCGGATGTAATTTTTGATTTTGGTCGGACCAGGACTCATACCCTGGCACGAACCTTGGATCGAAGCTAAGCTGGCTGACTGAGGTAATACACGAAATTTTTAAGAACAAAATGTCGCACCTTACAGAAGTTCTTAGGACCGGAGCATACTCAAGTTATTGAATTTAGGGAAGGAACACTTTTCCAGCCTGCTGTATGATATTGAGATTGAGACCAGAGATGGTGAGACCGATTCCTCAATCGATTACGATGGCACAGACGTTACGCGACTAAGAGAAATCCGATTAGCAATTTCCCGCCGCAAGAATAAAAAAGCGACGGAAGCCGATGGCTTAACAGCAGAGCTATTCAAATATGGTTGGTTTCATAGAACAACTAATGAAGTGCGTGCAACAGCATCTTTGTGGAATATGGTCGCATGAAATCGTGCTTGATTAATTATTAATATTCTATAACTTTCGGATGTTGGTCGTACTGGGACTTGAACTCAGGCCTTCTGAACGGCAGTACGCAATGCTAACCACTCGGCTACCGCGGCCACGGGATAAACTTGCTTAATATCGTACATAAGGTATTGTCTAGCGTACTGTGAGAAAGACAAAAGCCCGACGTCAACGAACTGATTGAACTCTATCACTATTCAAAGGTTCAAAGTTATTCAACAAAGATTTGAAAAGACTAGTAGGTACGAGATCATGTAAACTGACGCTGGACAATACGAGAAGCACTGTTTGAATTGGGAAAAGACCTCTTCAAGCCGTACATAAAGAAACGAGGTTTCATACAGGGACGCTCTTTATTGAGTAACTACTTTAAGCTAATGCTGGAGAAAATAATACGAACTGCAGAGCTGAATAGAGGAGGTACAATATTCCTCAAGAGCATACAATTCTTGGCGTTTGTCCATCCGATAAGCCACAACAGCCGTAAAGTTAGTTGTGGCATAGGCTTTCTCCAGGTCGAATAAGAAAGTGAAAAGTCTTATACCTCCTGGCATCAGAAGCCTATGGAAGAGAGCTTCCGCTGTTGGAAACAGATTGAAAAGAAGGACCTAACGAAAAGAAGATACGACTGGCACCTCACTTAAGCGGTGCCAATAACGAAGGAGACATTTGCCGTGTATTCTACCATGCCAAAAGTCATGGATTCGAGTGCTGGCCAGACGAAAATTCAAAATTATAAAAGAAAATTTTGTTAATAGCGATCGCCGCTTGGCCAAAAATGTCAACTGTGCATTTCTGACATAAGCTTCTCATAAAAATCTAGAATTCGCTGGTGGAGCTCGGCCAAAAATTGCCTGAGCGGTTCAAAAATACCCATTACATACTAACTTATATACATACAATACATTCATAAGTATGTAAAGGAGTTTATGACTCCTTCGATTTGATGCGCATTTTATTTATTAATTATCAATCAAATCTCGAAATAAACAAATCATCCATTTGCATGTCACTCCATACACATGTACAAGTATATAGACCACCGCTCTGTATATGGCGTAATTAGTAGCACAAAAGAAACTCACCTAAAATGGAGCAACAATTGCGTGCTTGGCTGCGTTACTCCATCGTCATAGGACTGTATGTGAGTCCCGCGCAGGAAACTACGCATTTCTCATCCTGCAAGGTAGCTAAAGCGCCATTAGCAGGTCAGCGGCAAGCTTGGTCTACGAAGAAATCGAATGTGCAACTCATAAAAAGGATTTATTGCTACGCATTTCTCTTTGGACTCTGTGTGATCTTTGTGAATGGACTCGCTTCGCAAAAGTCCACACCAGGCATGGTGAGCTGGACAGCGTCTACGATACTCTTTGCTTCACAAGCAGCCTCCACCATGTTCATCGCATGGGAGGGCTACTGGCGTCAGCAGGAACAGGAGACATTCCTGCGTCTACTACAGGAGATTGAGTTTTCATTGAAATTGCGCCTTAAGCAGGATGTGCGGCTGGATTGGTTTGTGTCGCACATGCGCTGGCTCTTTTACTATCTGCTGTGGCTGTCGATCATCTGTTACACATGTTTCGTTTATTATTTTACAACAGCACAATATGTTGGCTACTTCTGGCATACCACATTGTATAACATAACGATGCGTTTGCGTTTAATCCAGCTGCTGATCTATGTGCGTGTATTGCAGCATTATTTGGAATGTCTCAGCATGAAACTGCGTCAAATTGTCGCTCATCGTTTGGCGCCATGCCGTCAGTTGTTGGATGTGAACTATGAGAAGCTGCAATCATTAGAGTATCTCGTGGCGATCAAAGAGATCTACGGTCTGCTCTTCAAGGCAACTCAGTTGTTCAACAAATTCGCTGGCTGGTCACTATTCAGCATTATCGTCGGCTATATGCTGGACTATGGTTGCGCACTCTGTTGGTCGGTACTCAGTTGGGAGGGCTTTTTGGAGAGCCACAATTATTATGTACCCTGTCTTTGGTGGATCTGTCCCATGACGCTAATCTTGTGGCATCTTTGTCATTTGTGTAACAGGTGTAAGCAGCTGGTGAGTAACAAGGTTGCCTTGCTTTTATATTAAATAATTTTTGACTAAACCAAAATTCATTGCCTACATTTAGGATCGCTTGATCGCTAACTTATCGTGTCGTGTAATAATTATGCATTCGTCGCATTCCCTGCACACATATCGCATAGTACTACATCAATTCGCCATACAATTGCAGCTGCAACGTATAGAGATCTCAGCGAGAAGTTTCTTTACGTTGGATATGCGTTTAATTATGTCGGTGAGCCTAAATGTATACTTCAAATAATGAATTTACATTAATCCTCGCCAATTTTCCGCAGATTTTTACATCTATCGCTTTATATATGGTGATATTAATACAGTTTATAAATATTGGAAATAAATATATTTAAATTGTGACACTAAATTTTTAGAGAATTCTTTCTAGTCTAGACCCTAGCAAGTGTCAAAATTATCAAAAAAAAATCTGCATGTGGGCGCCGGGGAATCCCAACTCATGTATGTTAGTTCGAAAATGAAAAGTTTCTCATAAAATTCTGCAATCCGTTCATTGATGGCATAGAATAAACTGTGGATCTCTCCATTCGTTGGATTTAAAGCGCACACCACAAGTTGCAGTGGGATCTCGGCCACTTCCGCGGTTGTAAAGCGTCAACTACATATCATGATTAGCGACCAGCCCTTTTGAGACCGAGAAGAACATAAGTACGGAGCGTGATTAGAAAAGAAGAAAATTTTGGTCTCTTCATATAAATCTCCGTTCAATGGAAGCTCTGACAGTAAGATCAAACCGTAGTAGTAGTAATAGTAAAGTGTAAAGGTGTCACGATTGAAGCTACGCCAAACCTTGACTTCTCATTTAAAAAGTTATAGGCAAAACAATACAAGCCAGTTAAGAACTGCGACCGCAAATCCTTTAAGGTTATTTCTCTCTCACTCTACTAGTAACAAGCTTATGCTGGGACGGCTATCTGGATTCACATTGCATACAACCCTTACTTTTGGTGGCTTCTACCTATTTCGGCCCTTGTTTGACAATTTCGCTTGCTTTACGAGAGCTGTAAACAGCTCGTGAGTAATTATATATTATTATTCAAAAATATTCATTGAATCCAAAATTGTTGCTTACATTTAGGAGCGCTTAAACGCTAGCATGTTATGGCGCAAAATTGTCAAAAGCTCTTTGAATATACCAAATACTTATTGCATTTTATTCCAACAACTCTTCGTTCAACTACAGCTAAGGCGCATTGAAGTGACAGCTATGAATTACTTTGTCAAAGATTTAGGTTTGATAATGTCGTTCAGCCTAGATGTATACTATGAAAAATGCTTTTATAAAGATTTTATTTTAATTTTATATTTATATATATTATATTTTTTATATTTATATATATTATATTTATTTTATTTTAATTTTATACATTTTTTAGATCTATAGCAATTTTTATAAAATAAATATTTAAATATTATAATTTAGCAATATAGCATTTAGAAATATATATACATTTATATACATACAGAAGCATATGTGTATACAAGTATTTGCTCTTATAACTTGATGCTGAAAAGCAACCGTTACATTCGTAAATTTTTCAGGTATGTAAACAAATATAAAAAACGATATATATACTCATATATATATATATGTAATATATATATGTAATATAGGTAATATTCTAAGTAGCTTTGTAAGGCCGCTCATTAACTACATTAGCTCATTCTTTACTTGTCAATTACATACAGATGATGGATGACCACAAATATTTCCCCAATAAATTTTCTTCCTCTTGGACTACCATTCAAGATAACAAGAAAAATTACAACATACCTACAAATTATTTACTAATAAATTTATACCCAGCCAATAAAATGAGGTACCATATGAACGAAGAATAATTAAGAGCCAATTTGAAAATAAAGAATATAATTAAAAAAGATTTAAAACTTTTAAGAATATAAGAGGCTTATAAAACAAACAAATTATATTGAAGAAAAAAGGTATATGACTTAGCTAAACAAATAAGGTATGCGCCTATATGTAGGCAACGTTTTCCTATCAAGGAAATACTACAGCAGAAGGCCAAACTAAACCTCCTTGCCTTGTAAAATTGTAAGACAGACAAACTTGCCAGACTAGATAACATAAAACAGATTATTTTTTACTGGGAACACATTGCTGTATTTACTTATGAGTTCGCCGAATTAAGTTGGAATCATACTGCTACTTACAGAACATCTAAGTACACATGAAAGTATAAAGAAAGAGATGACTTCCTAACGTTTACGAGTCTTAACAGATCACTGCCTGATAGGGCGGCATATACCGATATATAAAAGCTGCTTTCCACGAAGATTTGTCTACGATAGCAGACATGTATGTAAGCAAATAATTCCATGAAGAATTTGAAGTGGATATGCTTGCTCTGGCCTAAGTTTGATGTTTCCTAACCGATAGCCTCTATAATTTCGCCAGCTTAGATTAGACGTGTAACAGAGGTTAGTCTTACCTTATCCATACTCTAGCGTCCTGGCAACGAGGGCAACCCGCATGTGAGTTGCGGTGACCAAAACGTTTGTAGCCTTTGATCAGAGTGCTAAATGAGAGAGAGTGTTAGTGGAGCACCTCTGGCTCATTTGGTTTAATGACTCGCAGAAGGTTTAATGCAGCATCTTTGCACCACAGCAGCCACGAGCGGGCGTCTGTCTTGAATCGAGCGGCTCGCTTTATAAATGATATATGTTTTCAAAACTTACTCGAGCACTGGGCTTGTGACCCGCCACGTAGAAATCGAAGCCAATAAAAAAAAAACAGTACCTCGTAAATAAAAACAACAGTGCCTCGATTGACCGAGTTCCTCTTTGATGACAGCCATTGCAAACTTTTTAAGGACCACGATTTAAGAAGATACACACGGAATATGTGATTCCTTATACTCTCGTTAGACCAAAGGCTGAGGATTGCTGTTTGAAAATTACGATGCATAAAGAATGAACGGAAGCGAGATGTACTAAAGCGTGGGTGTAAAAAAAAATGGGTTTCAGTTTCGTGGTAGGGGGAGATCCTCAGTCACCAATGTCTAACCGGCTGAACTATTTAAACTTGGTGGCGAGGAACTAATAAGTTACATGCTTCAGTATCTTTGCGCAATATGGACAGACGAAAGAATGTCCGACGATTTTTAACCCAAGTTCAGCTTAGACACTTCATTTGTTCACAATAGGACTAGTTCGTGAACCACTCAGTAAACTAAACAAACCTCCCACCTAGTTATATATTGTCGCAACGCTTGCTACAAGTAAATATTTAACAAATTGAATTCGCATTAGCCAAGACCCAGCGAGTCCATTTAAAGCCAATTTTATATTATATGATGACGATGAGGATTGTTAATTGAAAGTGAAAAGAAAAATTGCCTTATTAAATGGTTGAGAATACTCAAATCTATTACAAGGTCTTAGCAGTTTGAAGGTTACGCACGGTAAAGTCTGACGCTTGGCGGATAAGAAAAAGTGTTGGTTTGAAAAAAACTAAAAAAAAACGTTCAAAAATCAGTAAAGAAAAATTTAAAAAAAAATTAAATTTAAATCAAGAAGAAATCATTGAAAATTTGTTTAATTAAATATAATCTCTTAATTCGTTCAGAATACTTAAGTTCGATTGTGACCGTTATCCTTAAAAAATTTCACATGACCGAGATATTTCTAATCCACAGCTCTCACTTCTAGAAACGCGCTTAATGTCTACATGAATCAAACTCAGCCTCTCAACTGATTGCTGATGAAGATTTAAGACAGCACCTCTTTCGCAGAGTCTACCATAACGTTCATTCAGCGGTTGTCATATTTGCTTTCTATTCTGTGCTGTGTGATCTACTCCACAAGAAACCATACATACATATATATAGTGTGGTTCATAGAGCTTTGATGTAAATCTTGGCTTGACCAATTTTAAGCCGCTCTCACCACGAGTAACTACGAAGGGAAGATAATCTACTACCTTCACAGGCTATGTAAAGTGTTCCGAGACCAAAGTAAGTGTTGAATGAATAGGCCTAAGGAAAGCATGCATAGAAGTGATTGGTTTCCTGTAGAGTCGCAATGCATTTCAATTGTCTGGAGTATCAAAAAGTCGAGCCTTAATAGATAGTCCTGTGAGAACAAGGCGCTGAATTAATTCTTCCAAGAAAAACATCCTACTCGCTATGCATTCTACAGTTTCGGTGTAATGTAATTGGAATGTCCCTCTCTGGTAAGGATTTGAGTAAGTCCTTCGCCAAAAAATACTATCCAGCATATTAAGAGTAGAAGAGTATCCGGCCCCTAGTACGTATTTTATTACGGATTTTAATACGTTCTGCCACAGAACAGCATTTTACTAGTTTTCAGGGCAGGCCAAAATCATCCATTTCATCGCCTTGAATTTTGCAATTTATTTCAGACTAAAAGCTTCGCTGACTTGATAAAAAAATACCGTGAATTGTTGAGTATTGTTGTGCAGGCCTCGAAAGTCGACCCCTTGCTAATGGCATTTTTACCTCCTCGAGAATGACATTGGGTTCTGGGCAATATCCCTTCATCCAGTTTGAAACGAACGAACGTCTAGAGGTAATAAGAAAGCATCCGGGCTCAAGAAGATTTTAATCTTGTTAGGAGCAGGATATTAGACTGAACTTTTAAGTCATCAAAGTAGGTCTCAAATGGGAAGAAGAAAAACTTAACTCTTTTAATTTGTTATTAAAAGATCAAGGCTCGTCAGGGAATGTCAATTCCTCCGAGTGTTTTTTTTTTTTGACTTGAAATAAAGGTTCCTCATGAAAAAAGCCTCAGCCATTGCGCGGCACTTTTTATAGCCCACCTGATATATGAGGCAAATACTAAGAAGGAAAAATGGTATAAAAACTTCGGCAATCACAGATGGATTGAAGCTCAATGGGAGTGTTGGTGGAAGTATTTTCCGAAACTCACTTTCAAGTTGCCCAATCATTGCAGTGGTTTCGAGTTTTAGGCATAATGAAGGCGGTAGATTACGTTGGAGTTCTTGCGCAAGAAAATCGATTGAGTTGTTGTTGTTGTTGTAACCGCAAAATTATTCTCCAAAGTACTTTTTGGGGAATGATGCGGGAGTGACAGTCCTTGGCCGGATAAAAATCCGCGTCGTTCCGGTATAAAGGCCCGACTGTCGCGGGAACTATTGGATTTTAGTCGCCTCTTACGACAGGCATGCCTTACCGCGGGTAAATTCTTGAGCCTTTAACCCACAGGGGTTAATACTCGTATCGATTGAGTCGCTTAGTTCGCTTAAAAATGAACTCAAAGTTTTGACTCTCGCCCAACTTAAGCTTCGAAGCTTTATAATCGGTCCAAAGCATATTGATGTTTCTCCATCAATAGCAACAAAACAAAACATCAATATTTATATCACGAATTGGGGGAGGAACGCGGCCGAAAATTCTACACCTTTACTAATATTTAGCTTAATTCATAAACTCTCTGTGAGTTGAGTTTCGACTATGTCGGGCTCTGAGGGTAAAAATCGTAAAAATCAACTGATCGTGGGCTGTTAGAGTAATGGGTTTTTTCACTAGGTTTTTCTGAGAAATAAAAGTGAAAGGTGAAAAAATAAAAGTGTTAAAGACAATCAAATACCACACGCACAACCACAATGGATCTTATAGATTCTTTAAAGCCCTTACATATCTCCATGCTAATCGGTGGTCTCTCACAATATCTCGTGGATCGTAAAACGGGCAAAGTCTATCGTTCCCGTTTGCTCGAGTCTTATGCCATCTGCACATTCATCATCTCACTAGCTGTACTACTCTATGGCACCTTCAGTGATAATGAGTTCTTTCGTAAATCCGACAATGATATCGGACATACAGTGGACTATATACAAATGATTGGCATTCGCGTATCACATATTGTAACTATTTTAGAGGCGTTCCTACAGCGAAAAGGTCAAGGGACTTTCGTCAAGCAGATTCAGGAGATTGATCGTATTTTTGAGTGTTCACTCAATGTGGATGTAGAGAATCGGTAAGTTGGTACCGGAGGAGCTCAAGTGAATTTTATATTGTTGTGTGTTTGTGCGATTTAGAGCTGTGGCTTATAGACTTCATAGATAGGAGGTAATAGCAGATGAGCTAAGACAATAGTTAAATGAAGATAAACTTCTTTGGATCAGAAACCTCTGGGAATATAATTTTCGTAGAACCCACTGAGTGAGGCTTACATTGTTAGGAATCGGTTGATTGACTAAGCGGCCTTCTGTCCGTCCTTCTAAGGCATTGGGAATGGTTACAGGTTAGAGGATTATGTCGAAAGCGAGGAAAACTCCACACGGTTCGGCCATAAATGAGGGTCTTCATCATTGCTTGTGTGTGCGAATTTGAGTTATATAGACTACTCAAATGAAAGGTAATATAAAAAGAGATAAATAAGATAATAGTTGATTGTACTTGAAGATGGGCTCGTTTGGAAGCTGTAAGCACCGAAAAAAAACTATTCTAAAGTTTCTTTAAGGAAGTAACAGGATCTCGGTTTTTTAGGAAAACACAGAAAAAGTTTCAGATAACACAGTTGGGGTTATTGAGGCATATTTGTTATATATGGAACTCACTCTTCTTTTCGGCAGAAAGATTTCATTCTTTTTTTTATCTTTTCTCTTTTTTTCATTATTTTTATCTGTTTTCCTCACTCTCTATTTCTTACTGATTTTAACTCATGTTTATCTTTTACTCTTCTCTCTCTCTCTCTCTCTCTCTTTCTCTTTCTCTTTTCCATTTTTATCACTATTTCTGTCTCTCTCTCTTTCTCCATGTCCCGCTCTCTTACACATTTTTAATTTTCTATTTCCTTGTCTCTCTCTCCTTCGCACATGCTTCGCTATTTTTCTCTTTCTTTTTCGCTCTCCCTCGCTCTCCCTCTCTCTCTCTCTCTCTCTCTCTCTTTATCTCTCTTTTTCTTTATCTTTCTCTCTCTTTTTCTCTCGATTCTCACACACTTTCTTTCTCTCTCTATTTCTTCCACTTTTTTCTTTTTCTCTCTTTTCTATGTTTCGCTCTCCTTCTTTCTCTTTATCTCTCTTTATCTCTCTCACTCCCACCCCCTCTCCCTCTCTCTCTGTCTCTCTGTATCTCTTTCTCTCTCTCTCTCTCCCTCTCCCTCTCCCTCCTTCCCTCTCTTTCTATTTTTTCTCTCTGTCGTTTCACTGTTCCCCACCAGCTCGTTACGTCGAAAAATGCTACGTCGCGGCGCCATTATGGTCTTCATTTATATGAGCACCGAACTCTTAATACTCATCGCATACTTTTTCACCAAAGATCGCCATTTCTCCATTTATTGGCTATTTTATTTATTGCCATTTTGTATTTGTGGCGTACGCTATTTTCAAATATTCGCCGCAATTATGATTATACGTCAGCGTTTGGATAAATTAGTGGAAACACTGAATGAACTAAATCTTTTGAAAGCGAAACCGATGCAGCAAATGAGTGAGGATTCAAAAACAAATATAAAATTCATAACCGCAACCCTGCCGGTGTACGAAACAACGGAGTATCTGAAGCGTAAATATAATATGGATAATCCTGATATGAAACGTCTACTGATCATACGCGATCTCTACAATCGCTTGTGGGAGGTAACGGTTACCGTCAATAACGATTTCGGTGTTTCAATATTGACCAACGTGGGTAATGATTTTATCTCCATCACATCGAATTGTTATTGGATTTTTTTGAATTTCAAAAGTTATTCTGGCACACTGCAAGATTTCTTACAAATCGCTAGTAGCGCCATCTGGTCAGCACCGCATCTTTACAATGTGCTCATGTTGGCGTTGCTCTGTGAGAGAACAATACAGAAGGTGAGTGGTGAGAGCGTTTTGAAGTTATTAAACTCACTCACGTGCGATTTATTCTCTTTTTTCACTTAACTCAACTTTAGACCACGGCAATCGCTTTGGGTCTTCATCGTATGGAGACAAATGTGTGGAATGACAACCATAACACAGTGGTAAGTTAAAAAAAAGTTAAACTAATTTCCCACCGATTGCGATTTTCATTAAGTGTGTGGTAGCAAAATCAACGACAACCCCTGTGGGTTGGGGGCTCAAGAATTTACCCTTGGTTAGGCGTGAGCTGTCGTACGAGGCGTCCGCGACAGTTAAGTATTTATACCCGAATGACCCGCATTTTTATTCGTCCAAGGACTATCTCTCACACAATATTCCCAAAAACCAATTCGGGAAATATTTTATGCTTACCACAGCAACAACAACAGCGGCAGCGATGGCTAGATCATGCCGTCCGTATGAATCAAAGCACTCTACCTTTGAAGATCTTCGAAGTAGTAGCAGATGATAGAAGCAGAGGAAGAGAAAGACCTTCACTCCGTTAGAAAGATTAGTTAAAAAACAACCCTATTTCCCTTGGTACATACAATTGATGCCAAACAGAGAAAAGTAGAAACGACACCGTTGGGCTCTTGATATTAGAAGTGAGGCGCGATATGGGTTGGATGAGCGTCGCTCTTGCCGACTTTAAGTTGTGTGAATCTAAGGATCCTCAACTTACGGGGTTATTATAAATGAGTGCCCTATTTCTTCCTCATCTATCTAGCTTGAGCACTCAACTAACCTCTGATTGCACTTTAGCGAACATCTCCAGCTAAAGCTCATCTATGATCAAGCTCTCTCTTTATTTTGTGGAGAGCGTCTTAAAATTTTTCCATTAAATTAACGTTAAGCCTCCACCTCCGAACGACTGAAGGATTCTTATGAGAAGCTCTTAATTTCATATCAAAAATATGCTCGGAGGAATTGATTTCCCCTGCCTTTGGATTCTGTTCTGGCCAAAATTTGAACATATTACCTATGCCTTGAACTTTCGCGGTTAATGCATTGCCAATCCTATGGCTATCCTTGAGTAGGAAGCCTTGGGTACAGTGTCTGCGAATAGTAGACTGCAAGTGGTTGAGGAAGCTCAAGCAGAAAAAGGAACCAGTGAAGAAGGCATCAACATTCTTTGACACATGTAAAAGAAAGTTCTGTTACAACTTGGAGTCTTTCACCAATCTTCATCTTTTGAACAAAGGACGCAAACGCCCAAAGATTTACAGATGATTCTTAAATAATGAAGTGGGGACTACCAACGCAAGATAAGAAGGTCATTCAGGTTTCCAAGCCACAGCAGTAGTTTGAGTCCGATATATTGCGATAAAACTGGCGACAGAGCTAATGCAAGAGATTAGCTCACGCAAAAGATTATACCTTTGAACAGCACGAAGTCTGTAGTGCCTACACTTTGTAAGAAGACAGTCAAGAGGATGGCGGGGGTTGGAAAAGTACAACTTTATTTAGTACCAGAGCATAAGATGGAGTCACTTCAGAACAGAAAATAATTACGGACTTGCGAGGTCCTTTCCTAGGAGGGAAACATGTCAAGAGGAAAGCATGTGAACCAAGCAGGGGTATGTAGTATATGGGAAGTTATGCAGCTCTACCCAACTCCACTCCCTACTCAGTTTCATCACTTTTCAATGCCACAGAATATCCTTCAATTAATAACAATATCCTCTTCCTCAGATCGAGCAGTTCTCCTTGCAGCTCTTACATCAGAAGTTGACCTTCTCGGCTGCCGGTTTCTTTGATATTAACTGTACACTACTTTATAGGGTAAGTAGCTCTCTAGGTTTCGAAGCTCCATATATGAAATTATTAAAGATTCTCACCTCTCTTCCAGATCGTTGGTGCCACAACTACATACCTAATTATACTAATACAATTTCATATGAGTGCGGATAAGTTGACGACGAGTTGAATAAAGTAAAATATTGTTTATTGTAAAATTTGGGGGCATGAAAATAAAGAAGAAACGAAAAATCAAAAATTCAAATAAATCGTTATCAAATAAATGCGTGGCCCATTGAGTCAAGAGGTCTTTAATTGGTTGGTTGAAAGGCGGAGTGGTTGAGAATAAGCCAATCATTGTGCCCCATGGGTTTCCTTATTCATCCGATCCTGCTTTTCAGTTGCAAAGTTTTTTTTTATCCGCCGATGACTTGAAGATATTTGCAGTCAAGCTTCAAATCGAAAATTAGGTACTTGTTTGAAGCAATAGAATTCTAGTCCCTCACCGAACATGCTTTTGTGAAATAACCCACTAGATGATGTCTAATCCAATATTTTGGAGAGCCACTATTACATTTTGACCGCAAAGTTCAGGCGATTTATAACACGAAGTTTGAACGGACTGAATGGAACTCAGCATTGGAAGAATCTCAATGCAGGACATGTCCAAATATTAACTATCACACTCTTTCCGGAAAAGATGGACTACATCACATCAAAGGAAAAACGAAAGCAAAGAATAAAAAGAGGTACCAGATCATTGAGCCATAGCTATTTTTACCCTCCGCATCAAAACTCGATAACAGAGTTGGTTTCACCCAGTAATTTGTTATGTGAAACAAGCAGACCATTGAGGGCTTTCCAAGCAGATCTTATTGCGTGCCCGATCATAGTGAAATCTCAGGCAAATTTGCCAAGGATGACATAGAAGGAACAACTTTAAGAACGATTAACTCTACACACGATAATATAAGGAGGTGAGGAACCACTCTCCCCAAGGAAGGTTGTTATCGGAAATAGCGCCCGCCAACTATGGAAAAAAGAAGCGTCTGATGCCAAGAAAGGGTAAAAGGCGCTATCGCAGACTAAAAATACGGGAGCCGTGTTCCGACTCCAACAACGATAGGAATCTTAAACACAAATAGGTGATTCACCACGTCCTATTTTAAGCTTCAGAAGAAGTTGAGGAGCCACCACTCCCATTTCACGTTAGAACCGGTGCTTTTAGAAGCGGTGTGGAACTCCTTTCCCACTTGGAAGGCGGTTGAGCAGTGCCATGCACTTACAGACATTTAGAACTGCTCCGCATAAGCACAGACAAGCACAATACACAAAGATGCAAAACGAAGTACAATTATTTTCATTTTCGTAAAGTATCCGTGCAACGAACGAACCTCAGCTAAAAAACCAGTTTTCTTCACAGCTTTTTTTCTTTTTGACCTCCAGACGCCGGTTTCAAATGCTCAAACGACTTCATATCGTTCTAATAGGAGTAGGAGACTACCAATTTCTGAGATAATTTTATATGTCGTTGCGAGGATATAAATTGTCTTCTTAAACCGCGGTCCTGTATTGCTTTAAGAGCCTACTAAACTGGCAAATCACTCGTCAATTACTTAAAAACGGAGATCTCTTTACCGATAAAGTTATATACTGCGCCGTTTAACTAATTACGAGGCATTTACGACCCCAACCCGAGTGGCACTTAAGTCCAAACATTATCAGCTTACGTCGTTCGTAATGTTTCAATGTAGTAGACGACCGCCAATTCTGCAAAGTCATTTAGGTATGCACAGCGATATTAACAGAAAAGACAAATGCTTAAAACAGTCGTTACCACTCAATACACGCAGTATGTCCAACCGCAATATACACGCCAGTTTCGCACGTTACTGTTTTCTACTGTTAATGTACACGTCGCTCCTGCAACCAATACCACGACTCGGACGCCTCATGTTCATTCTACGTCTGGCCTGGTTCGTCTGGCTCGCAATATCATTTACTGCTGTCGTATATGAGTTACTAACGAACCCTTATGATAGTGTCGGTTCCATAGTAGGCAGCGCATTATTCATATTCAACTTACTAACAAACGTGGTGACCTTCATAGAGTCAATATGTAAGTGCGAGCACTATCAAGAGCTTTTGCGTCTCGAGCGCGAAGTTGACACTTTATTGGTAAACAAAATTGACGTCCAGACGATAATTGAGGTGCGCGTTTGGCACATGGCCTTCTACGTTGTACTCATACAGATCATCTACGATGTCGTACAACTCGTTATTGCCTTCACCGGTTATAAGTCGCCGGTCTTCTATTACGTCGTAGTAATATTATTCATCCAACGTGCACGTTATGCCCAGATCACATGCGCGATTGCGCGTCTAAATGCACGTTCACTTTGCTTGATCACGCTGCTGCGTGTGTTGGTAAAAGCGAATCGTCCAAGGCATAAATACTCGAGCGAAGTTTGGCAACCATATGCAGTGTGGGAATTTGAATATTTGAATTTACTGCGTCTCATACATGGTCGCCTGTGTGAGTTGCATCGCTGCGTAAGCAATTGCTTCAGTTGGTCCATAGTCATTTTGCTCTTTAGCACATTCTTCACAACGGTTTCCAATCTATTTTGGTGCATTGAAATCATAAGAACTAATTTTCAATTCGGCCAATTCGCTTATGATGCTCTAACCATATTGAGGCTAGACACTTTAGCTGCCGTGTTACTGTTTACAGCTGAGCAGGCAAAGAAGCATGTGAGTAGGACGTTGGCAACTGGAATCTTTTCATCATTTATTTACGATATCTGTTTTTTCCCTTCAGAATATGCTCCTCGGCGGGCTCTTCCTCAATTTGGCGAAACCACTGGGCAACAAGACATACAATGATCTCGTTTCCAAGTTCTCACTACAATGTCTACAGCAAGGATTCATGATAAATGTGAAAGGATTTTTCTCTTTGAATTTATCGTTACTGGGTGATGTAAGTATTAAAGCACGTGCTAAAATTGGGAAGTTACGTGAAAATCCAATTGCAGTTCCCATTTCCTTATTTTATTTATTTTGTTTTATTTTATTTTATTTATTTTGTTTTATTTTATTTTATTTTATTTTATTTTATTTTATTTTATTTTTATTTTTTTTTTATTTTTTTTTTATTTTTTTTTTATTTTATTTTATTTTACTTTGTTTTATTTTAGTTTAGTGTATTGTATATTGTATTATTTAAATTTATTTTAATTAATTATTTTTATTTTATTTTAAACAGAGAGCAAAACTAATAAAATTAATTTTCTTTTTCTTATACTCGTATTTCAGCTGATCGTTTTATCAAGTACATATCTGGTGATCCTCATGCAATTCGATCTATATCAAGGAAGTAATACAAAAGTAAATGTAATTTATAATTCAATGGCTAACGAAGAATCCATGAAAACCGAAAAATTCCCAACCATTAATTGAGATTTTCGTTTTCTAGAGAGCTTTCCTTTCTCTCCTCACAGAGGCATCTACACCGTTGCTGATTTAAAAACTTTTCATATACCGCTCTTAAAAAGCTGTTAAGCTTTCGTCTTGATGTATGTAAATTGTAGTAAGAAGACGAGGTAATTGACGAAGACATGCATTGTCTGAAATGCATATAAAAATAAAGGTATTCGCTTAATTATTTATTTAAATATCTTACCGCTGATAAACTTTTCAAATCAATTCTAATAAAATCCTTTGCTGTCACAATAAGCTTTTGATGTAGCGTTTGTATTGAGAAGGTGAGTAGCAAGTCATTGTACCTCCTGCTACCAAGTGGTTTAGAGAGTTGTGTTGAGAGAGCAGCAATGTTCTGGCCCTAGAAAGGCAAGAAAACTGTTGATGAGAATTTAATCAGAACTGAATTTGTGTTTGATCAACAAATAGAAGGACCCACAGTTTATTAGTCTAAGGCACCTTCGAATGACTGATCAATATTTATGAGGAACTTTTAATTCATGTTATAAATAGACTCGAAAGGCTTCGTATTCCCAGCCGAGGAGCAACCGCAATTAGAAAGGTTGGTCTGGTTAGGGTTGGATTGGGATTTCTTCCGTATCATCACTATTTTAGTCATTTGGAGCAAGAGATTGAATAACTTATGTACTTTCCTATAAACTGTCTTACGCTTGGGAAACTGAGTTTGAAAACTTTCGCATCGAAAACGTTTACCAACTCGAAGAAATCAACAGGCATTGACTTTAGGAGAATTGGCAGATTTCTGCAATACACTTTTTCTTGTGCACGACGGACCCGTTTACTGGCTCCGTAATATGACATCGTAGTTGATGACTAAAGCGTGGCCACCAATTATAAACGGACTACAAGCCCTCTGTTGCGCAGAACTTAAGCTTGCTTAACCGGTTTATACTAGTCTAAAGTATAATCTTCTTGCAGATCATCACAGCTGCCGCAACCCGCTACGCTTCAAAATCCACACTTTTCACTCCACTACTCACATTCACTTACTCACCTTCCGATTTATCTTTTCAGCCAGACCAAACCATTGGTAGTGTAGACAGCCCAACGAAATGATTGTTGCTAGATTGAAAATCACCGCGCCAATGCCCAAATTCACAAGCTTGTAGGTCAGACACCAATATGTATAGCAAACAAACTCGCTCAGCGCGAGCTGGGCAATCAAGGTCATGGACCAACCGGCACAATCGTTGATGAGTTGAAAGAACTCGAAGAGCCGACCGTACAACAAACGCAACAAATTCAATTGTTCTAACTCCCAACGATTATGGGGACGCCAAACGTTGAACTCACAGATGGGTCGCGTATTGTTGTAAGTAACGAGTAGGTCGATAGTCTCATAGAGCACACATAAATACTCATTGAACTCGCACATCAGGCTGAGGGCGTGAAAGTAACGCAGGCGAAGACCCATTACAATTGTTACCGTACCGAAGTAAGTGTTAGTCATATTTTTCACGGAGCTAAACTTAATTGACTCGCAGATAATCAGTATGAGGAGTAGCGGTAGGAGGCGCGTTTTCAGGTAACCAAAACTCCTACGCTTTCGACCGCGTAAGTGCGCTTTTAACTGTTGACTGATTAAATAGTTGATTTGTTGCCGTAATTGTTGGATTTGCGCAAATTGGCGCCACTTTACTGCTGTCTCAAGCATGCAGCAGAAACTGATGATGGCGCAGCCGACGGAAAGACAAGTGCGCACCCAACGTACCAACGCGCGGTCACTAAAGAGTAACATTTTGATGGGCAGGTGACAGTAATTTATGAAAAAGAGTAGCCAAGCGCTGAGTAGGAAAATATTCAGCCAAGGTGCGGCACGTGGCAGTGGATTTATGAGGTATACAACGAAGGTTGTCTTTAGTAAGTAATTAACACACGCCTCCAGTTGGTCCATATTGGTTGAAGGTAAGAAGTTAACTGTGCGCAACGCGGTGCCTAAACAAGTTGGTGATGCCTAAATTTCTTCAAGTGAAGCAATTATGAAAACGTGCTAATGAATTATATACAGCCTATGACTTGACAAATATATAAATATTGTGCATTCCACGTGTCAAATTAGATGGTGGGAGATTTCTGCCACAGGCAAAAAAAGGGTGTAGAAGTACATTCTTGGTTGGTGTGATCTATTTGAGACTGTAGAGTTGCATGTTATGATTTGTGTCGTACCCGCACGACTCCATAAAGCTATAATTCTAATCTTCATTGGGTTTACCGTATATCCTGAGGCTCTGCTCCGATTGCACAGGCATCACCTGCTTCCAGTTATCAGCCATATTCTCTTTCTTTTTTATTGACTTTGGCATCGTTTACGCGGCTACAGTCAAGTTCAGAGTAGCATATCAGGCGTTACTACTGTCAAGCATGAATTGGAGACACTTTCCTCTTCGCTGGATCCTTACAACACAACCCCCAGTTTTCCTTCTTCGCCTGCTTTCGCGAGCGATACCGCATCGAATATCCTGGAGTTCTTTCATGCATCCGGATGATCTGACCAAGCTACGCTTTTATTTAACAACTATGTCCATGCTTGCACGCGAAAGTCCATGAATCGATCGTAAAACTCTTTCTTCGAAAACTCCTAATGACGGCTCATCGGAGATTATCATAGACTACGCTCGGAATGATGAAAGCCTTCTATCCAACATCTGAAGAGGGGACAAAGAAACGTAGCTCGTAAACCTACAAGACAAACGTCCGGTCTGAAGAATAAGCTACAAGCTTGTGAGACATTTGTCTCCAGCTGTGCAAGCATTATCTGCTGTGATGCTTTTGCAGGAATTATTTTTGCAGACAGCTGCTTAAATGAGAACCCCTTCTCCCCTCAAGCCCATAAGGCAACAAGTACCTGACTTTACGATTTGCATTTCACACCCGTCGCAGAGCCGCTGCACAGGCCAAGCTACCGAGCAAAGCATATGAGAGACCTGATGAACACATTTAGGGAAGAAATTTTGAAAAATACTAATTCTCACAAAGTTTTAGTGAATTCTGCACTTTGTGCTTACTAATAATTAAAAGATTAGGACCTTTTTTATTTTTATTTTCAATTCAGCGTATTCATTCATATTCAGCGTGGCACGAATTGCTTGTCAGAATATTTTTTAATTTAATTTAAATACTAATTTCGATATTCAGCTGCTGTTTCACGTATTCAGCGTAGCTTTATTTTCTCTACTATCTTTAAAATGAGTATTTAATATACAATAATAGATGAGAAATATAATATAATTAAAGTCATAAAATTAAAATGTCTACTTATTTCTTTTAATTCAGCAAGTATGAAATGTATTCAGCGCCATATAAGTCGTACGCAATTTTGTCGCAATTGAACTTAAGGTATACTAAATGCACTTGCTTTTAAATTCATTCAGCACAGTCTCAAAATTTTTTTTTTTTGTTTTTTTATTTGTGTATACTAGATCATTTTATTTTTAGGTTATGACTTAGATTTATATGCAACAATTTTTCTCTAACAGAATAAATTTAATATTACCCCGGAAAATTCATTTATATGCAATACTCTAACAAAAATAATTATTACACAAAATTTACGCAATATTCAGCAACGTTTTTTCAATTCAGCAAATTATAAATTAGTTTTGTTGAACAATTTATACAATCAAAAGCTTTTTAGCTACATTTTTCTTTCATTCAGCAGGTAGCTTACAATTTATTTTCTTTAATCCGCAAAAAATATTTCAAATTCATTTATTTGATGAAAAATGTTTCATTAATCAACTCATATATGCAAAATTTTTTTTCTAACTAAATCAATAAACTAATATAAAGAATACTTTTCTGTAACCTTCAAGCTAATTTAGCTACGTTTTTCTTCAATTCAGCTTACAGAAATTTATTTCAGCTCTTTTAGGAATCATTTTTCTTAGTAAACAACATCATTTTTCTTTAATTCAGCTAACAGAACATGAATTCCGCTGATAGAGTGATTATTCAGCAAATAATATGAAGCGCACTAATGATTGCTTACTTCCTCGGCAACATTTAATTAATTTTTCCTTACTTTTTAGGATAATTTTTAGTGAAAACCCTTCATTCAGCTAAAGTAAAAGCTATTCAGTTTTGTGAGTTTATACTATTTAAAAATCACGACTTTCTAAAAAAGTTTTCATAAAGTGTACATGAAGTATGAAACAAAGGCTCTCTTATGCTCCCATTCAGCCGAAAGCTATATTTCCGTTCATGAAAATAAATGTAGAAAGAAAAAGTTAAGAGACCTCGATCTGCTCCCTTATTCGCTCTAGATATCACGATTTACTCTCTCCTGTCGAACTCTATGAAAACCTGTCAGCTCATAATCCTTTAATAAGAATGTTTACCAGAAGAATAAAGTATGAATTCACTCATACTCCCAGATGCCCTATCTCTTACCCACGTAATTCTCCATATGGTTGATAGCACGAACAGCGATACGAGGAAAATCGCGGCTATAACGCTGAGCGAGGCAAATATAGTGATACATGGACATATGATAAGTAGTGATAACCGAAAATATGCATTTTCCAAAGTCTAAATTTTCCGTGGTAACACCAGCATCACTGAGCTGAGAATTCTGGTAACTAAATAGACAACCCTTCAATGTAGACGCGGAGATGGGGTGGACTCATTAAAAAGTGCATAAGTGAGAGGGAGAGATGACTAGAGAGTTTGAGCGATAAATTTCAGTCTTTCAATCTATTTTCAAGATTCTACAAATAGTTCGAAGGGTGTGGCACTTAATAGCCGAGTGGTTAGGAGTGCGTGCTACCGTACGGAGATAAATGGGTTCTTGCCGTAGTCAGACCAAGGAATTCCGAGTGAATTTCTCCCTTTATATTAGAAATTTCGTTGTTGGATCGGAGCTATTTCTTTCAAGATATCTATAGTGAGCCTATGAAAAAGAGCATTCTCAGCTTCCAATCCATTTAAAGGCATTTTATAAAACCTACAAGATTGCTAATACTAGCGAAAGCAAGTTCAACAACACAGTCAGAATAGAAAAATAGCCCTTGAGAAGCGGTTCCGACAGCGGCGACCATATATAATATTAAGCCGGATGTGTAGCTGATGGAGACCTATTTAGAGAATAGTAGAGATTTTGGCTAGTTAAGTGCAATTTTGTCGAAGATGAATGTATGCCCACATGGCATGACGAACTTAGGTAGGATCATTCCTCTTCCGGCTAACTTATTGACCTCGAGGTAGGGTATTTGTATTGTAAAAATTTAATGTTAGCTTGATTGTCAGAAAGAAGTTAACACAGGAGGATTTGGTGACCACAAAGCAACTTCTGTTATTACAGTTAGTTCTACTTGAAAGAAATCAATTGCGAATGGCAATGAGTGTACTCCCCACCCCAACCTGCCATCGAGTTTAGCCGGGGGTTAAGATGGCTACGGATCTTAGATCGCAAACTTTTTTATTAGTTCCCCTCTGGGATTTTTATTTTATATATATTGTCAAGAGAGGTGGTGGAGTCGGTGTAGAGTTTAGTATTTGGGCGTGTCCTGCGGTTTAACCAGGGTTCTGGCGTAATAGATCACATGAAGCTTATAATACAGGTTTAAAAGGGTAATATTCATTGTTTTTTTTTAAGGTTTTTGTTTCACCTTTGCTGATTACTTCTGAGCGTTGTTTATATTTTTTACCACTTTTCTCTTCTGGACTCGTATTTTAAACATTACTGCCTTCAGGGAACTGATTAATATCAAAGTACAGCGAAACTTCCCTTAACGGGTACCTCTAATAAGCGGGCACACTTTTAAGAAGTTTCACTGTATAATAAACATACAGCAGAGAAGCTCCTGAGTGAGGTATATTATTTTTATTATTATTAATTCACGCTCTCTCTCTCATTTGGTAGATCTCGAGAGTACACTTATAATAGCTACTCCGAGACTACGACGCATCCCTTAGTCTTAATTATTTTAACCAGAGAATTCTTTTCTCAAATCACTCCTCCAAAGAAAAATTCATAATTAAATAACGAATATATTTATATATATATATATATATAAGCATTTTTTTATTTAATTCGTATTTATATAATTTTTGTTCTCTATTCCACAGTACAGTTCCGATTATTCTCCATCAGATTTCGCTCAACTCTAGTCTCCTCCGAAAACATAAACTGAATGAGTATAACGAGATAAGTGACAATGGATGCGACCATCTAAAAGGCAAAAAATATATAGAAAAATTACAATATAATGAATATGGAAATGAAAATCAAATATATTATAAAAAATAAATCAAAATAAAGTCATACAAAATAAAATAAATTAAAATAAAATAAAATAAAATAAAATAAAATAAAATAAGACAAAATAAAATAAAATAAAATAAAATCAAATAACATAAAATAAAATAAAATGAAATCAAATAAAATAAAATAAAATAAAATAAAATAAAATAAAATAAAATAAAATAAAATAAAATAAAATAAAATAAAATAAAATAAAACAAAAAAAAAACAAAATAAAATAAAATAAATTAAAATAAAACAAAAAAAAAAAAACAAAATAAAATAAAATAAATTAAAATAAGATGAGATAAAATAAAATTAAATCAAATAATACAAAATAAAACATGAAATAATAAAAAAAAAACAATTAAATATCATTAAATTGTATTAAATAAAAATTAAACAAATTCAGAATAAAAAATGCATTCAGCACTAACTGTACCTAAGCAGTTCTTAGTCAATACTTACAGTGCCTAAAAGATTGAGATTCAAATTGAAGAACTCCTTGGCCGTAATGACATATTGTTGATGTAGAGTTTGCAGGGAAAAGTCCGTAACCAAATCATTATAGCTCTTATTACCTGAAGGTTTGACAAGTTTAAACATAATGCAACCGATCTGGCGACTCTGGGAAAGAGAGAGAGTGACAGTTG